GATGTGGCTCAAGCGGTGGCGCGCTCGCCTGGCATTCGTGCGGCCCGGGTTCGATCCTCAGCACCACATACAAACAAAAATGTTGTGTCCGCCGAAGACTAAAAAATAAATATTAAAAAAAAAAAAAAAAAAAAGGATCCTCATTAGAAAACCCACCTCCCTGGCTGTGCAGTATCTGTCTCTTCATTGCTTTGCTTCACAAAGGGTACCCTCGATTGGGGGTGCAGGAGGTGTCACTCAGGCTGTTGGCTCTTTGTTGGGATATTCACAGAGCCCTTTCCCCCACTCCCCGCTAGCCTGGCACAGCTTGGTGTTCCAGTCCTTGGGTTGCTTAGAGAAATTACCAGCTCCTGTCACTGGGCTGTCTTGGTCTCTGTAACCAGGCTGTTTTTGCAGGGAGCATATTTTTTTGTTGTTCTTGCAGAGTGCTTGGAATAAATTGCTGGCTCTGTGCTCAGAAAAGACACCAGCTATGACCAGCCACAAGGCAGCCTGTATTCTCAGAAAATGTATTCAGCAAGGATGACGTAACTGCTTCACTGGCCGGTCTCCGGCCAGCCTCTTTCCCTAGCCCTGGAGCTTACCTCAGAGATTTGCGGCTCTCCCAACCCCATTCTGTGTGGGAAGATGGAATTTTGCTACTATAGGAATTTTTAGAACTCGACTCTGCTCAGCCTGCCATGGGGAGTTTTGCCTGAGCCAAGCCTTGCAGGAAGAGCTGTCCAGCAGTTGCAGCAGGGCCACTTGGCTGAGACACAGGCTTGTTTGATTTAGGATCAGCTCCTGGATCTATTTCTTCCTAACCTTATCACTTAGGAAAATGAGTTGGTCCTCTGAGCCTGTTTCTCTTTAATCTGGGGTTGTCATGTGAATTTCATATATTAGTCATGTACTTATTTATTTTTGCAGTGCTGGGGATTGAACCCAGGGCCTTACACAAGCTAGGCAGGTGCTCTACCACTGAGCCACATTCCCAGCACAGTTTCATTGATTTTTGAGGAACAGTTAATAGGGGGGTCCTCACATCAATCCCTTGGAAGTGAGTTGAGCAGAAGAGAACCGTGCTCTGTAGGGCCTCCTCCCCACCTGAGTTCAGATTCTGGCATTGACCCTGCCGTGCTCTGTTGATTGGGGGGGCCTGATGGCTGAGCCTTGGTTTTCTGGAGTCATTGTGAGGGAGATGCATTTAAAGTAGAAAGCCTAGTTAGTGCTTGGCACATAGTAGAACCTCACTAATTGTTGTTTGTTTTTTTTTTCTCTTTCCTAATTATTATTATTATTATTATTATTATTATTATTATTATTATTTGTATCAGGGATTGTATCAGGGGCACTTAACCACAGAGCCACATCCACATCCCTTTTTTATTTAGAGACAGGGTCTTGATGAGTTGCTTATGGCTTTGCTGCTGAGGCTGGCTTTGAATTTGTGATCCTCCTGCCTCATCCTCCCAAGCTGCTGGGATGCTGGGATCATAGGCATGTGCCACCTTACCCAGCTCTTTAATTATCTTTTAGCATTTGTTTTCTTTCACCTTTTACCTCCCCTAGCTAGGCTGGTTCAAGAGCCTTCTTAGATGGGTTTCCCATCTGTGTTTTTAGAATTTAGAGCACAAGTTGTGACCATGCAGCAAACAAGGGTGTGGCTGTGTGATCACCAAGCAGCAGATGCTGAACTGGATGGCCGACTTGGTCAAAGGTCAGCTTCTGTGGGCTCAGGGCTGACTTCACTGGAGCAAAGTCACAGCAATATTTAGGAGGGGGCTTGATGTCCACCTTTTTTTTAAAAAAAAAAAAACAAAACAGTGCTAGGGATGGAACCCAGGACGTTATGCATGGTAGGGAGGTGCTATACCCCTGATCCATATCTCCAGCCCCTTGATATCCTTTTAATGTATTTTTTAAAATTTCTATTTGGTATTTGATAAGGACCTAGTTGCTGAGGCTGGCCTTGAATTTGCAATCCTCCTGCCTCAGTCTCCCAAGTCACTGGGATTATAGGAGTGTGTTACCATGCCCAGTAGTTGTAGATGGACTGCATGCTTTTATTTTGCTTACTTATTTATTTTTAAATACTTTTCCAGTTGTAGATGGACATAATACCTTTATTTTATTTATTTGTTTATTTTTATGTGGTGCTGGGGATCGAACCCAGTGCCTCACACATGCTAGGCAAGTGCTCTACCACTGAGCCACCACCCAGCCCTGATATCCTTTTTAAATGGTTCTCAACTGTACCAAAAAAAAAAAGAAAAAACAAATAAACAACAACAACAAAAAAAAAAAACAGTTCCTGGGACCAGAGGCAGATTGGAATCTTTTCTTAGACAAATTAAAAACAGTAAATGCAAATGTCATTTCTTAGGTGTCTTCTCTTGGGATAGAATAATTTCTGTTTTTCAAGAGTGCATAGGTACTTTGATTCTGGACGCTGAGTTCTTCTAGCTAGAACTCGGGGCAAGATGTATCTTTGATTTCTGGCCTCTTCCCTCCCTCTCCCCCCTGCCCCCGTGTCCAGCCATGGGCCTGGCGGAAGGTGGGCACTGTGCAGAGAGCTGTCAGATGTGGGATTATGGAGTGGCCAAGGAGCATGGCATCGGGCCAGAAGGCCAGGCCTGGAGTCATGGGTTCTCCTCTGCTGGCCTTGAGCTGCTTGTGTCACGTCCTGCCATCTTTTGGAGCCCATTCTTCTCTCTTCTGTTGCCCTGTCAGAATTCTTGGGGGTACTAACAAGAAAATAAAGGGGCAGAGTCACAGTAGTGCACATCCTTTCTTCATTCATTTCTCCTGTTTTACCAAGGCCCGTTGCGTGCCAGGGTCTGCGAGCACTGTGGTGGGTAACAGCCGCGGTCCTTGCCTCTGTGGAGCTTGCCAGGTAGTGGGGAGGTGAAGAGACGAGGTAATAAATGAACAAATAGAGTTGATCATTTCAGACTGTCGCATGACAGGGACTCCTTGAGAGGAGGGGCAGGGAGGGCCTTGAGGGGTGACATTTGAGCTGAGACCTGAATGGTGAGGTAGCCAGCTATGGGAAGACTCAAAGAGAGCACACAGAAGGAGCAGATGTGGGGGTCCTGAGACAGACGTGAGCTGGGTCTTTTTGAGAGCAGATGGAGATCCGTGTGGATGGAGCTTGGGGAGAGGGAGGCTGTGTGGCAGGTGAGCCGGAGCGTGATCACATGGCATCTTCGACCCCTGTCAGGAGCCAAAAGTTCATCTGCCTCCTGTGCTCCCAGCCTTGTCTCTGCCTGTGGCACTGGAGTCTTTGGGCAAGGCAGTGGGCAGGAGAAGATGGCCTCTCTGTGTCCCTAGTTTTACCACACACTGCACCTCTCACCCTGCTGTTAATACCCCAGGAGTCTCCCCAAAACTGAAGTTCGACGGTGGCACATTGAGTTGACCTTGATAGTTGCCTGGCTCCATGGCCTTCAGGACTCGCTGAGGGACTCCACGGCTCTGTCCAATTGGGTTACTTACAGCTTTCTCCCTAGTCTCTTGCCACTCACGGCCAGTCCGTGGTATCCAGAAGCACATGTTCTGCCTGGGCTGTGTGGAGGTGACCTTACGAGCAAGATGCTCATGGTCCTGCACTCATGGAACTTCTGGTCAGAAAGGAGAGTGTGGAAATGCAGTCACCGCCCCGCTGAAGAGGTTCGCCCTCTATCTTGCCTTCTGGAGGAAGTTGGCCTCTTGGGCAAAGCCCCTTCCCAGAGCAGGAGCAGCAGCCGAGGGCCTCCTTGGAGCTGGCGCTCTGTGAAGAGCTTGCTGTGCTGCTCATGTAGGTTGCTCACACTGACCTTGGACCCAGAGGTTGAGTGATTCATGGAATGACCTGGGGCAGCCCCAGGTTTCCCGCCCAGGCAGCCTGGCTCTGATTCCATGTTTGGGATAAGTCCAGTTTGCCCCAGAACTGTGGCAACAAGAGCATTGCTGGGTATGTACTGCTCTGTTGACCAGTGGTGGAGCAGTTAGCACGACCCTGTGCATGCTGTGTCCTGGCTCAGCTCAGTCGTTGGCTCCCAACAGAGTGCCGTAATCGCCTGATTTTTGTTGGTGGGGGTACCAGGCACTGAACCCCAGGGGCTTAACTGCTGAGCCACAACCCCCAACCCTTTTTATTTTTTATGTTGAGACAGGGTCTCAGGGTCTCACTAAGGTGCTTAGGGCTTTGCTAAGTTGCTGAGGCTGCCCTGGAACTCGCAGTCCTCCTGTCTCAGCCTCCTGAGCTGCTGGCCCAGAGTGCTCCACGGCTGGCTAAATAGGAGCCTATGTGCTCTTTGAGGCCTGGGGTCCGGCCTGGGTTTGTCTGCAGCTCCACCCTGCCTCTGCCCCACTGCTGCCTGGCCAGCCTCCTTTGTGTCGGCGTGCCCAGCGCCTTCCTGCATCGGAGAGCAGGGTGTGCTGGAGCAGGGCCTGGACTCGAGCGCATTGCTGGTTCTGATCCAAGTCCTGCTTCCAGGAGTCTGCAGCCCTGGGCGAGTGTCCTGCCATCTGACCTCTGCTCGCCCCATGCTTCCATCACCCACCTCAGCCGCTGCCCCCTTGTCCTTCAGGGGGCTGTCGCTGCTTCAGGGGCTCTCCTGAACTCCCTGCCCCTGCAGGTCCAGGGAGGGCCACCTCCACTTGCCTGAGCCTCTGCTCCAGCATGCTCCTCAGAGGTGTCCTGGGAGCTCAGCAGAGGCAAGGGCTGTGTCTGTCCTCTTCACTGTCACTTTGTATCTAGTACCCGCAAATGTGCTGACTGAGCTAGCAGACAGGGACCCAGATCTCGTGGTGCCCAGGGAAGCCCAGGCCACTCATGGTGGTTTTTGCATTTGTTTTCTTTGGTACCAGGGATTGAACCCAGGGGTGCTTAACCACTGAGCCACGTCTCCAGCCCTTTTTATGTTTTATTTTGAGACAGGGTCTCGCTAAGTTGCTGAGGTTGGCTTGGAACTTGTGGTCCTTCTGCCGCCGCCTCCAAGCCACTGGGATGACAGGTGTGCATCACCTGCCCAGCCAACTTGTGGTGTTTGGCCTCGGTGGTTGGAAGGTGGCACATGGACTGTTTCCAGGAGTGACCTGCTGCTTGCTCCTCCCCTTCCAGAGTACTCCCTGGTCCCGGCCGGCAGCATGGCAGTGCTTTTAGTGACGCCCCTGCGTCCAGCCCAGAAGCCATGGAGGAGATAAGGTAGCCCCTGAGCAGATGGGGAGGCCCAGCTCAATGGATACAAAATACAAAGATGACTTATTTCGCAAGTACGTGCAGTTCCACGAGAGCAAAGTGGACGCCACCCCCAGCAAGCCGCGGCCCGGCAGTGATGAGCACCTGCGGGTGGCGGCCTCGACCCTGCTCAGCCTGCACAAGGTGGATCCCTTTTATCGATTCCGGCTGATCCAGTTCTACGAGGTGGTGGAGAGCTCCCTGCGTGCGCTCAGCTCTTCCAGCCTGCGGGCCCTGCACTGCGCCTTCAGCCTGCTGGAGACCGTGGCCATCAACCTCTTCCTCTACCCGTGGAAGAAGGAGTTCCGCAGCATCAAGGTGAGGCCAGGGCCGGGGGCTGCACTGCCTTCTTTCTCCTTGCCCCTTCCAGAGGGCCAGTGTCCCTGGGGCCCCTGCCCCCCACCCCTGCTCTCAGAGCCCCCGGTTTCAAGCAGGCTGAGAGCTGGTTTGGACTCAGTGGTCCCAGTGGTGGTGGGGCAGAGAGGGTAGCAGGGAGGGCACTGGAGGGCACCAGGTCAGGCGGTTAAGACTGCTGTGCTCTTCAGAGCTTCGCAGAAAAGCCAGGAGGGAATGCTTTCTGCCTAGAGCTAAATCCCCTCTCTCCACCCATGTGTGTCTTGGCTTCTTGTCATGTGGACCAGAGTCTTTGTACCCTGCAGAGAAAGCTAGTGGCCTGGTTCTCGCACAAGCTGAGCGCTGGCCGGCAGCAGCCTCTGCCTCCGCAGGGGAGCGGGAGTCCCTCCCGCTTCCCACTGCCCCTCACCCACCTCAGGCCTGAGCCTTCGCTGCTCTGCGGTCTCTGGTCTTTGGGTGCCTCTGAGCAACACCCGCCTCTTCTCCCTTCCTCCTCCCTAGACCTACACAGGCCCTTTTGTCTACTACGTCAAGTCGGCGCTGCTGGAAGAGGACGTCCAGGCCATCCTCAGCCACCTGGGCTACGTGCCTGAGCTGGGGGCTGCGTACAGGCTCAAGGAGTTCGTGGAGACCCTGCAGGTGAAGATGGTCTCCTTCGAGCTCTTTCTAGCCAAGGTCGAGTGCGAGCAGATGCTGGAGATCCACTCGCAGGTGAAGGACAAGGGCTACTCGGAGCTGGACGTGGTGCGCGAGCGCAAGAGCAGCACGGAGGACGTGCGCGGCTGCTCGGATGCGCTGCGGCGGCGGGCTGAGGGCAGGGAGCACCTGACCACGTCCATGGCCCGTGTGGCCCTCCAGAAGTCTGCCAGCGAGCGGGCAGCCAAGGACTACTGCAAGCCCCGTGTGACCAAGCCGTCCAGGTCCGTGGACGCCTATGACAGCTACCGCGAGAGCAGGAAGCCACCCCCAAAGGCCTCGCTGAGCTTGCGGAGGGAGCCCGTGGTCACAGACCTAGGGGACGGCCTGGAGGACGAGATCATCCGCCCATCCCCCTCACTCCTGACCATGTCCAGCTCCCCCCACGGCAGTCCAGATGACCTTCCACCCACCTCCCCCAACAATGGCCTCGGTCTGCTGCGCAGCACGTACTTCTCCGCTCAGGATGACGTGGATCTGTACACGGACTCGGAACCCAGGGCCACCTACCGCAGGCAGGACGCTCTGCGACAGGATGTGTGGCTGGTCAGAAATGATGCCCACCCCCTCTACCACAAGCGCTCACCCCCCGCCAAAGAGTCCGCCCTCTCCAAGTGCCAAAACTGCGGCCTGTCCTGCAGCTCCTCCCTCTGCCAGCGCTGCGACAGCCTGCTCGTCTGTCCTCCGGCCTCCAAGCCCAGCGCCTTCCCCAGCAAGGCCTCTGCCCACGATATGTCTCTGCGGGAGAAGTATGCAAGCCAGACTCAGGGCTTCGACCGGTTGCCACCCCTCCACTCGAAGCCCAAGCCCTCCGCCACCGCCACCTCCCGCTGCGGCTTCTGCAACCGCCCAGGTGCCACCAATACCTGCACCCAGTGTTCAAAAGTCTCCTGCGACACCTGCCTCAGCGCCTACCATTACGACCCCTGCTGCAAAAAGAATGAGCTGCACAAGTTCATACCCAACAACCAGCTGAACTACAAGTCGACGCAGTTCTCCCATCTCGTGTACAGATAGACCCCCTGCACTTCCCCCTACAAGGGCTACGCCACTGACCTTCCGGTTCCTGGTGAAGAAGTGTGAAGCTGCTCAGAGCAGAGCTGCTGCACTTGACTCCCTGGGTGGTGGGACCAGCCGGCTTCCCCGCCTGAGCGCTCACTTACGACTCACTGCAGCTGTCTGCAAGGGAGAGGGTGACACTTCCGTTCAGATTCTTTTGGCTGATCACTCCCTGTTCAGCTGGGTTCGGGTTTTATTTTTCCTTTCAAGAGGGTTTCTGTCCTGGGACTGCCCCGCCCACTGCGAAGCCAGCTTGGACTGGGAAAGACCCTTTGGGTCGTGTCCAAGTGTCCACTTGAAGCAGCGAGCTAGAGGCCTGTTGGCTTGTGAAATGAGCCCTCCTGCCACACTGGGCCTCTCCTGATGGCTCACGCCGTTGGCCATCCTGCTCCCAAGTACAAGGATCCCCAGCCAGAGCCCTGCTCCCTGCCTCCGCAGGTGTCCAAGGAAAGCCGAGTCCAGTATGAGCTGAACTTCCTCTTGTTGCCACCGCAGCTCAGTCCCGTGGTGTTTGTGAACGTCACCCCACACGTTGGAATGTGGGCTTCCCACGGCAGGACAGGCTCCTCCCTTTCTGTTGTTTGCACACATCCCTCGGACTGTACTGTAAATAGATATTTTTGAGATTTATTTTTAAATAAATATTCAACTTGCTATGTGTTTCAAAGCGGTTAAAAATTGATTATGTAGCTATTTATAAAAATGCCCTGGGTTCTTTATAGTCTTCCAAGGAGGCCTCGGGCCCTTTTCTCTGTGTCTTCCACTCACTGGGGTGGAATGGCGAGTTGGGGCAGGGGAGGGACAGAGACGATGTCCCTTTTTCTGGAGTTGGTGGAGGGCCACTGTCTTCCCTACAGTACACGCTATACACCTACCTCCAGTTGCACTTAGGGGGTGAGCACCGGCGCTGAGGTCCGCGCCTGTAGACTGCAGGGCAGTCAGGATGATTCAGGGACCTCAGCCTTTGCTGTCCCTCGTCCTTGGCTCTGCCGAGTGACCTCACACTCCAAAGTTCTCAAGTCGCATTTAGAAGGAAAGTCACTTGGGTTTCCTGTCACCCATCCATCTCGGTCCTCTTCACAAGTGTCCAGGACTCACCTGCAACATTTGCGATCTTTTTGCACTATAAGTGGGCAGGAGTCGGCGTTGCCCACCAGACGGCCGCCAGCCTCAGCCGCACCTGCGCACAGCCACGCCCGAAGGCCCCTTGACTCCACGTGGGAATCACCGACCTCGGGATTTTCCTTTTGGGGGTGCAAAGCAGGAGTGGGACAAGAATTTGAAAATAGATCACTTTTGTGAACTAATAATATATTTTAGCCATAAGTGTTTGTGATGTGCCCACTTAAGGGATTTATGTGCAGTGGGTTTTTCTGGGAGAAAGAGGTATTCAGCTCTTGAGCAGGGTTTAAATCTGGCTGAATCCTGAGGCCACTGTGAATTTGCCGACGTTCTTCCAACTCTGTGGAGTGATTTTAAGGTTTTCCAATCTTCTCTGGCTGTTTTTACACACCTGGTAGATCACATGTAGATACGCGATGTGTACATAAAGCTGAGTTTCCACCCCCTGATCCCAGACCAGCCGAGCTGGGGGTTCATCTTGATGTTCTTCCTTTTCACATTTCAGAACTGGCAATGCCTGGCCCACTCCTGAGAGCTCTAGTTTTCTAGTTTTCCGTTTCCGGATTGTTCCAGCATTACAGTAACTTAGCCAACCGTGATGCCACGTAATTTACAGTGGACAGAAGCAGGTGTGACCAGGTGTCCTAGGAAGACAAAGTCCAGTGTCCCTACCATCACGGAACTACTGTGCTCAGAGACTGGAATAGGAAATACTGTAACCGTGCTCCTTCTTGGTGTGTACCTTACTGTATGAGGTTGCTGTGATTGAGATAGTTAAATATATGCTAATTCAAAAATGCAGATGTTTTACATTTGATTTCTACCAAGAGTTGAAATGTTGAGAGATAATTTTAAAAAATAATAATAAAGTGTCTTCCATTGTTAAATGAAGTGTGTGTTTTTCTTTCTTTCTTTTTTTTTTTGACCTGTGTGCTCCCCACTTGCAAGTGTGGGTTGCTCTGCTTCAGTTCTTTAATGACAGGACTAAAATTTTTCCGCTCCATGAAGCTGACAAGTAATACCCAGCAGTGGAGTGAGGCGCCTGTCTGCTGAGACTGTCCACGCGGGATGTTGCCACAGCCCATGGGGCTGAGGGCTGAGGGCGGAACTCGGGGTAGAACGCTCATTTAGAACATGAGGCCCTGAGTTCCATCTCCAGACCTGGGGGGAATACCCAAAAGAAAGAGAAAGAATCCCAGTTATTCTGTGAGATAAGCTCTGTCAGGGCTGGGGATATGGCTCCGTTGCTAGAGTGCTTGCCTAGCATGCCCAAGGCCCTGGGTTCAATCCCCAGCCCCACCAGAAACAAACAGATGGGAAGACAGGGCACGGTTGAGCCACGCCTTCCCAGGGCATGACTCTTGTACTCCAAGACTAAGGCGTACGGGTGGTGGCTGGGGCATTACCTAACATGGAAGGACATTGTTTAAAAGTTCCATTTTTACTTTCCATCCATTTAATTTCCGCCAGGAGGAAGTCAGTGTGATGCTGCCTTTGTTATGTTGGCTTTTGCAGGAGTGGCACCCAGCCACTGGGCTGCGTCCTCAGCCCCACTGCCTGTCTTTAACAGAAGAAGACAGATGGCGGGCACAGGCGGGCGTGGCACACGTGCATGGAGGCTGAGGCAGGAGGATGGAAGTTCAAAGCCAGCCTCGGCATCTTAGCGAGTCCCTAAGCAACTCTGCAAAACCCTGTCTCAAAATACGAAAAGGGCTGAGGATGTGGCTCAGTGTTTAAGTGCTCCTGGTTCAACCCCAGCACCCTCCCCACCAAAAAAGAAGTGTCAGGCAGAGCCTCCGGTAGGATCGTAGTTGGGTTTTCAGTCACCCTCTTAGGGCACGCCATGCCACTTTTCCATTAAAAAAGTCAGGCAGCAGTGTTGAGGGTGAGCAGAGAGCAGCCGCAGCTGGCAGTTCTGGCCCTAAGCCCATCAGGACCTCTGTGCCCACTCTCCACTGGGCCGGCCCTGTAGGGCAGCTCAGCCGCCAGGAGGGGAGGCCGCTCTGCTTCATGCACTGGCTGACCAAGTGTTCAGGGCCCGGACCAGATGTCCAGGTGCTGGGACTGCAGTGAGCTGCCACCCAGGAAATGGCCCTCCTGGGAGCAGCGGCCTCCTGGAGGCGCACACAGCCCAGAGATAAAGGAAGTCGACATGGGGTGGGGGGCAACTGATTAATTTGTCTATTGAAATGGAAAGCATACTTCAACACCACCAGCTGTGTAGCACCCACTCTGCTGCCAGCTCCCTGCAGCAGGCTGCAGGACCCCACGCGACTGGTGACTGTCTTGGGAGGAGAGCTGTGGTAGACACTGCAGATGGTACCCTGACTTCTAGGCCATCCAGAATAAGGACTGTTTCCCAGCTTCTCCTGCAGCCAGAGGGTCACGTGATCATGTCTGGTGCCTGGATGGAAAGTTGCCTTGTATGTAAGTCTTCTAGGACATGCTCTTCAAAAAGGCAGCTTGAGCCAGGCACAGTGTCGCACGCCTGTAATCCCGGCGATCTGGGAGGCTGAAGCAGGTGGATTGCAAGTTCAAGGCTAGCCTCAGCAACTAAGCAAGATCTTCTTTCAAATAAAAATAAAAAGTGCTGAGGGGTGTGACTTAGTGGTAAAGTGCCCCTGGATTCGATCCCCAGCACCAAAAAAAAAAAAAAAGGAGCTTGATCAGTGGCAGGCACCTGTAGTCCCAGCTACTCAACAAGCTGAGACTGGAACATCGCCTGAACCCAGAATTTCAGAGCAGCCGTGGGCAGCTGGACAGCACATAAAAAAAAAAAAAAGAAAGAAAAAGAAAAGAACGGGAGCTTGCTCTTGCTGCTGAGATTCTTCTCCCAACTGGCCTGCCATGAAGGCTGGGCCTGGAGCACGCTGAGACTCTGAGGGAGAAGCCAGGTGACGGAGGCTGGGCAGCACCGAGGGCCGGGTCCTGTGCTCAGGGGCCTGTTGCAATGCCCTGCCTGCGCTGCCTGCCTCCAGGTTGCCAGGTGAAAAGTTCTTGTTTTGCTTAAGTCACATTTTTTTTCCTTTTTGCTTTTTTTTTTTTTTTCTTTTTGAGGCGGGGGGCACTTACCCACTGAGCCACATCTCCAGCCCTTTTTATTTTTTTAGAGACAGGGAGTCTCACTAGGGTCTCACTAATCGCTGAGGCTGGCTTTGAACTCTCCATCCTCCTGCTTCAGCCTCCAGCTGCTGGGATTACTCATACTTCAAAGTAAAATCCGGGGCAGCAGACTCTTTCTAAGCCTATCTTTTTTCCCATGCTGAGAATCCTGGTTATCAAGGGCACCAGGGAAGCCACTACTAATTTTGGCTTTTGTCACCATGACTAAACCTAATCATGACTGCTGGGAGGGGCTGTGGGCCTGCCACTGTGGCCCTGGGAGAGGGTCCGGTCACTCCCGCGGAGGGCAGGGAGGGCACGAGGAGCCCTGTGGGTTCCCAGGGCGGGAGGTGGGGTGGACTCCCAGGACCAGCTCCTGCTGCCTGTCACTCTTGGGGAAGGGAACCTGCAGGGGACCGCTGAGGACAGTTAAGCCACAACGGGCACAACAGCCACCACCTCCTATCACCAGGCGCCTCTGTCCCAGGTGCTGGCCTCTCCTCACACGCTCACCTCTAGGGCCACGACCTGGGGATACCATTTGGCTTCTTTTTTTCCTGAGTGTCTCTTTGGGAATGAGGGGACAGTTTGAACTCCCCCAAGATAGCCCTCTTTCTCTTGCCCCCGGGTCAGGCCCACCCATCAGCACTCCTCAGGCAAGAGGCGGGAACAGCCAGGAATGGCCAGATCCGGGGTGCGCCATTTCCCGGAAGGACATGGCCTCCCTCCGTGAACACGACGGGTTCTCTTAGCAAAGGTGATGCCGCAGCAGGGGGAGGAGGTGGGGGACCAGGCTGGCACACAGGGGTCAAGGGAGTGTGTTGGTACTGTGGGAATTCTTCTGTTTTAAAACATTTAATTTGTGCTTTTTAGGTACATACGACAGTAGAGTGTATATAAAGGACATGTCACACCCGGAGTGTGGCTTCCCATTCTTGTGGTTGTGCACGATGTGGAGTGACACTGCCGTGTATCCAGATATGCACACAGGAAGGTTCTGACCCTTCCATGTCCCCCGCCCCCATCCTCGTTTGTAGTCCAGCTCCCCCCCCACCCCGTGTTGGCAGCCGCCCAGCTGAGAACGTTAGCCTTGTGAAGCTATTCCACCACCTCCACACCTAACGTACACCGAGTTTACAAAATGGGTTATATCTTACTTCTACTTTTAACATTTATCAGGCGCTTTGGAACAGCTAGAAAGTCTAGATTTTTTTTTTTAAAGTCCTTAGCATCGTCAACTATACATACGGTCACGAGGAGGAAAACGCACCCACAAAACACTTCTAAACGCCCAGACAGACGAGGTGTTTCAGGTGAGGACGCCGTTTGTCCACTACGTAATGACAGTCGTCTTGAGTAAAGGGCACACGTGTAACAGTAGTTCTAATGTGAAAAGGTCTTCAGAATGTGAGCCCTCCGGCCCTCCACCGCCAGGGCTACACACTCCAGCCCTTCCTAGACTTCCTTTTTTTTGGTACCGGGGATTCAACAACCGAGAGGCCCTCGCCCACTGAGCCGCACCCCAGCCCTATTTCGTATTTTATTTAGAGACAGGTCTCCTGAGTTGCTTTCTTTCCCCCCTGAGGCTGGCTTTGAACTCAGATCCTCCTGTCTCAGCCTCCCAGCCACTGGGATTACAGGTCACTGCACCCGATGCTTAGGAATTTTAACACAAAACGTACAGAATGTTTACGAATCCCACTTTTGTCATATACTTGCAATCTTTTTAGCATCTAGAAAACTAGATGTAGAGTAGGACTCGTGTGTCCTTTATATACACTATGTACACAGCAAAGTAAAACCAAACCCGGGCACGGGACAGTGCTCTGCTGCACCTCGCGTAAGCCACCGTGCTCCCCAGCCCAGCACCCAGTGAGAGCCACTCCACAGGGGGTGGTTACTGCCCCTCCAAATCATTTATATTTTACTTCTATTTTTAACATTTATCAAGCACTTTAGATTTTTCAAAAAAAAAAAAAAAGTACTCAGCATTGTCAACTCCACATCCGGTCATGAGGAGTAAATGCACACACAAAACACGGTTATAGTATGAAAAACGTCTTTCACATACAAATCGTCTTCACAGGACCCCTCTTGTCACGGTCAAAGTCTTCTCCGTGTCCTCTAACCCAGTATGTGTATTTCTCAAAGCATGTTCGCAAAATTCTACTCCTGAAATTTACATTTAGCTCCCCTGTGGGAAGAGTGGGGACCACGGGGTCCTCAGCTGTGCCAGACCTTCCTTGGCCCCGAGCTCTAAGGAAATGGCTCTTTCCCTTGACTGCTCCCCGCTATGCTGAGAGCTTCCCTCGGGGGTGCAGGGGCATTACGTAACATGGAGTGCTGCCTGGGCGAATCCTGCTTTCCATTCCCAGTCCTGTCACTTCAGTCTCCCTACACTGAGGCCGTGACAGCCACCACCTGTCACCACACTTGCAGTTCTTCTCCGGACCCAGGTCTCTCCAGCATCAGTGGGCAGAGGGGAGGGGGCTGAGGCCTTGTGGGCCTTCTGCAGCCTCCAGTCCCAGACTGGGTCCCCTGCTGCTGCCACCTGCATGGCTGTTAGTTCAGAAACGGGACAAGGGGCGATAGGGGATGAAGAAAAGACAAACAGACACACCTAGAGAGAAAGCTGGGGACCGGTGGCTCTCATCCCCTGGCGAGGGACGAATGACCGAGCCAGGCCAGCACGTTTATCATCGAGGTTTCCTTTGGGAAAGTTTCTTCAACACAAGCAGGACAAAGGTCGCGGCTGGGGGCAGCCCAACGTGACCAGACTCTGCTCACAATTCTTCACCCCTGCAGCTAGTGTCTGAACTGGAGTCAGAAGTGACAGTCCCATAACAGGCTGGGACCTCTTCTGAACAGGGCATCACCACAGCTAACTGGGCAGTCTCACCTGGGCCTTTGCACAAGTTCCCAGCTCAGATGTGCTCCTGTCGCCGGCTTGAGGACTGTAATTTGGATCGCTGCTCCCAACACCCTGTCTGTGGCTGGTGGCACCTGGGCAGCCCAGGCCAGGTCGTGTTCTGGGGCGACTTCTCCCCCTTCATGGCTGTGGCGGGACGGGATGCGGTGCAGGCCTGGGAGAGACGAGGCCCGCTCCCGCCCCCATGGGCCAGAACAGGGAGTGGGTTCGCCTCCCCCCCCCCCCTTCTAGATTCGTTTTCGTTTTCTTTTTTGCGCCTCTTCTCACAGAAGCTTCAGATGCCCCTGGACGGACGTGCAAGCTCAATTCATGCCCACCCACTGCCACTGCCTCCTCTCCCAGGAGGGGACAGGCAGCTTCTGCGGCTGTGTGGGCTCAGTGGAGACGATCTGCTTAATTGTCAGGCAACGGCCACCACAGGTGCCATCCTAGGTGGCCCTGCCACCAGCTTGGGAGACGGGCTCCTGTACCCGTGAGAAGCCCAGGCGGCCACCTCGGCCTCATATTTCTCCTGGGGGCAGAAGCAGGAACCAGATCCCGGCCCTCGTCACACCAAGTCCCCGTTGCCAGGCACTGCCCTTCACGGGACTGTTTGCTGCTGGCCCAAGAAGCTGTGTGACCAGAGTGAGCCCAGGAGTGCAGGACCTGTATGTGCAAAGCCACGGGAACACGGACACAGAAGCCCGTTCGGATTCGGCAGCATTTTTATTTCTAAATAAATATCCAGTGACATGACTTTTCCGATCCTGAATCCTCAGTCCAGGGAGACAAGCAGGGGCCCAGCAGCACAGCCGCCCCACCCAATGCAGCCACCATCCCCTGCAGCCAGGGCCCCCAATGCCTGGCCCCAGTGTTCCCTGTTTAATTGTTTTTTCCTCCCTGGGGTCCTTAAAGAAAAAATAAACAACAATAAAAAACCCAAACTTAATTACACACACCTTAATTTTTAGAGAAAATATGAAAAAAAATACAAGACTCCTATTGGCTGTGAGAATAGATCTGGCCTTGTGGGAACTGCAGCGGAGGGCACTGGAGCCTCTGGTGGAAGCTGGGGCCTCCCAACCATCCCTCCCTTGTCATGTGCAAGTGGCTTCTTTCCTCTGGCCACCAAACACATTTTTCCTTCCAGTCCCACAGCCCCAAGGGGCTCCCAGCAGCCTCTTGCCTGCAGAGCTGAGAGTCCACACCGTGGGTAAGGGCCCTGGGATGGTGGGGAAATGGGACGGGGCAGGCCATGTTAGAAAGTCCTTCCTTTGTGGCCCATGAATATGCATTTGAGAAACGGCAGGAACCGGCAAGGAGCTAGCTCCTTATTCTCTGGGAGCCTGTACTTAGGCCTGGGCCCTGGAGGTGGGGTCCTGGGAGGACACCCTAATGACTCTGGCTGCAGTGTTGGGAACATCTCAGATTGAGCTTCTGACGCTCCAACCAGCAGGGGAAACACATGGCTGCATTTTGGAGGGAATGGGGAGGGGACCCTATTTTGTATTTTAAAATCCTACCCTACAGCAGAGAGCTGTGAGATCTTCCAGCTGGAATCAGGGGCAACTCTCTACCTGGGCTTTGCCAGTCCCTGGACTGCGAAGCTAGTGAGGTCCTGGTAACAGCTACCCTGCTGAGAGCTCTGCCGGGGTGTGGGTCCATGGAAACAGGGACCAAGACTCAGGAGGCCAGGTCTTGCTGAGGGATAGGGATATCTGGCCAGTGTCAAGGAGGCCCCCACTTGCCTGTTTTGGCATCCACCGCACACAAAGGCATATACGGCAAAAGAGGACGTCTGCACTGACTGGGGCTGCCACGTTCTGGGCCAGGCAGGGCCCTGCTACAGCCCCACTGTGAGAGGGCCGGTGGCTTGGGCTGAGGACTGGAGGGCTTCGGCTCTGCTCCTGGGCTGAGAGGCTGGGCACCAATGGGCTGAGCCGTCCCCAGCCTGGTCCAGCCCACAGCTGACTTGACCTCTGGGGACTCAGGAAAAGCTCCTGAGGACTCCAATCTCAAGTTGCAGGGTGTGGTTGTTCCAAGAGGCCCTACAACCACAGGTGGCACTGAGTGTACGATTTATCCCAGGAAGTGGGGTGTCGGGGGCACAGGCCTGCTGTGGCACATCTTGGTTTACTGGCTACAGGGCCAGCATTCCCAGGGGCACTCATGGCTCTTACCTCACTCTAAAGCAATACCTTCTGAGCCACAGCTGTCCTGTCTCTTGGCTAGATCTGAAGCAGGCGGGAAGGTATAGCAAAACTGGATCCTTTTATATCTTCTACGTTTATTTACCGCCTGAAGTGATACTCCACCTGAAAAACACACCTGCAGGGCCTTCTGCTTACTACAAATCGAAGCCGGTCACCCTCACCTCTCGGGTTGCTCTTCCAGGCTGCTAAACCCTCACTTACCAGCAGGGGGCAGAGGAGACTCACAGGAGACCCAGGCTAGTGCTGGTAGCGCCCAGGAAAGGTCTCACCCTCCCCACCAGCAAAGCCTGGTGGCCTTTCTACCAAACCCCACAGATGCTCCCCACCATGACATTCTCAGGTCTCAGCAAAAAGTGGGAGGACAAGGCATGATGTGGCTGGGCCACTGGACCTGATGACAATAGTCTGAACCAAGAAGACTCCTTCTGTCTCATTGCTTCATCTATAAATTAAGATTAAAAAAAGAAAATCTTGGCAAGTTACTGAGCTTGCAAAACAACCAAACAACCTTCATCTCTGATATCAGACCCTGGATTTCAGGGGAGAAGAGAAATTAGCTCTGAGCTGGGCTAAGAGATCAATCTGGTCTCAGCTCCCTGCCTATTCTCAAGCAAGGGTGAAGGTCCCCTTCTTCTCTGACCTCTTCTTCCACAGCAAAGAAATGGTGGAAAACAAAATTATGCAAGGCAATGGGATGGCTTGAACTATGGGGTCAAGGTGTGGGACTCTAGGAAGGAAAAGACCACGCTGTAGCTCTATCAAGCACAAACTCACTTCTCATGCATAAAAGCAAGCGTGGCTTCCTGCCTGATGGCGACAAGTTCTAGGCAAGGTGAGCAGTGAGGGCTGGGCCTGGCAAGAATCCTAGGGGGTCTGCGGTCGGTCCTTCCTGACTCCAGAGTCACCCTGCCTGGGGCATAAGACAGAGAAATACACCTTCTACCACTCCAAGGCATGCTGGCCCATAAAGACCGTGGGCCCACAGTGTCCCACTGAGAGCCAAGGACATGCACGTGATGAACTGAATCACCTGAGGGTTCTGCTCTCGACTCCAGCTGGGACCCAGAGCCATAGGGGAACGTTGTCCACGCCTGTGGATGGGCGTAGTGGAGCAGTTACACAAAAGGTGGGTGGGAACGGGGTGTGGGTCACACGCAAACGACTGGCAGCTTGAGGCGGCAGGGGAGGCAGGGCCCGAGATGGTACCTCTGGGTGGGGAGCTGGCACCCCAGCATGGGAGACGGGCAGAAACCAAGATGGTAGGGAACTGAAGAGAACAGAACCCTAAACAGCAGTGAAGGTGGCAGCAGGTAATGGCAGGTGGACATACAGCTGGCAAAGGACCTCGGCTGGATGAACGAGAACAACGGAGCAGCAGGACCCAGCGAGGGAGATGGGATGCCGGCCGAGGCAGGAGGCTACCAGACTCCTGGACTTGGTAAAAGTGCATGAACTGAAACAGAATCAAGGCAGCCATGGCTGGCTGCAGACACCATTTTCCAGCTTCTCTCTAGGGGGCGCTCTGACCCCACAAAAGAGCCCAATGCCCCAGCCTGAGACCCAGGGCTGCAGCTTCCAACCAGGCTCTAAGAAGGGCCCAGCCTCAAGGTGGGCACCAGTGTAAACATTCACGATACGCCCCGAGCAGGGCAGCAGCTGCCTGCCCCGGGAAGACAGGCGGTGAGGTGCCAATCAGAGGTAAAGAAAAAGGGTCGCTCAGCTTTTCCTTCTCAGGGGGTTGAGGTTTCTGGCTTTCTGAGCCTGCACGAGGGTCAGACCCTGACCCCCAGGCTCCAGGCTCAGCGCTCCCTGCAGGCCCTGGCTCGGGCTTCCCTGTCCAGGCCGAACCGCTCTCTTAGGGGCTGCACAGGGGCTGCCGAAGCAGGAGGGGGCACTACCTGTGACAGCGGCCACTCCACTCTATGGAGGCCCTGCTCAGTGAGGAGTGGGGAGATGAGAGTTTCCAAAGGCCTGGAAAACTGCGGGCTAAGAAGATTCCGCAGCCTCACGTCACTCTCCTTCTGACACCCTGAAGAGGCTGCCAAGTGCAAGTACTTCCAGGGCCACGCTCGGTGTCTGTGGGTGGCAAGGCCTGGGCCCTGTCTGCCAGAAGGCGCGGCACCCAGCTCGGTCAGAACAGCTCCTGCTCGTCGTCCTCGGAGCCCGACGGGCCCTGGCGCACCTCCTCATACCACTTGTTGGTGAGGCTCTTCATCTGGATGCGCCCATGATGGAGGTCCTGGGGCGGGAGATGAGATGAACCTGGTCAGTGTGGAGGAGGGGCTTCCCCTGGGCTTGGGGGGGGGGCAGGACAAGGCACCAGGCAACGGCACAGTGTTAAGCAGCCAGCTTTGGGGGCACCAGGAGGGACCCCTGAGAAACAGGAGGTGAGGAGGCAGATGGTGTGAGGATAAAAATGTGGCACCTCTGCCCCTTTCAGCAACTTAGTGAGACCTTGGCTCAAAATGAAAAATAAAGCTGGGCGTGGTGGCTCATGCCTGTAATCCCAGCAGCTCAGGAGGCTGAGGCAGGAGGATCGTGGGTTCAAACCTCTTGCTTTTAGAAGATTAAAAGGGAGGCACTGAGCAACTCAGTGAGACCCTGTCTCTAAATAAAACACAAAGTAGGGTGGGGATGTGGTTCTGTGATCGGGTGCCCCTGAGTTCAATCCCCAGTGACCCCACCAACTCCCCAAAAGAAAAATGGCCAAAGATGGAGCTCAGCAGTAGAGCACCCCTGGGTTTAATTCCCAGCATCCCCCAAAAAACAAACAAAAAAACCCCCAAACCCCTGCAGCCTCTAGAGTTATCCTCATGCTGGCTGTGTGGCCTCTTGGGCTGGAGCGGGGGCTACTCCCTGGGCCTCAGTTTCCTCGATGTCAGGGAGACCACGGCTGCCTCCTGCAGGTGGCTGGGATGGAAGGTGGTGCTGCAGCGTGCTGACAGCTGGCACCACGGCCTGAGCAGCAGAAGGTGCTGGGCGGCTGGAAGAGCCCCAGCCCCAGCGCAGGGCGTCCACACCGCCTAGCAGTGCACCATGGCTCCCTGAGGCCCTGGCCTGCCTGAAACTTAGCCCAGCTTCAACAGCTGATCAAGGCCCGGAGCCATCAACCAGGAGAACCTAACACGTGAACAGGCTGTGACCAAGTGAAGAGCAAATCCGCAGCCCAGGGAAACAGCAGCTGCACCCACACCCAGCCCGGGAGGTGCCCTCGCGACACTCCCTCCCCCAGTCCTCGGCCAGCCCTCCTGAGGGGAGGCAAGGTCCCACCTCTTGTGTCAGCCTCCGTGTGAAGAAGGGGTTCAGGTACTTGGCGTCCAGCCACATGAAGCCCTTGAGGTCCTGCCGCCGGATGTAGTGGGCCTCGTACTCCTCCTCGGTGAGCTCCGACAGGTGCTCGGACTCGATGGTGTTGCCCTGGGGGACAAGGCAGCCGGATGCGTCAGCGGGCACTAACTGGAAGCCCCACACCACTACCTAGAGGCTTCTGCCCCAGGTCACCAGTGTCCCCAACCCGAAGTGCCTCACACCCAGGCAGGGTGAATGTGGGTACAAATAGCCTCCTGGGAGCCCACGGGAGGTACGACAGTCTCTAAGAACATCATGGATGCCAGGGACACCTCCTGGCGAGTCAAGTCAGAGCAGGGGAGAGGGGAGAACAGCTCCAGAGAGGGGTGAAGAAAAGAGTGGCTCCGGAAGCGAGGACCTAGGTCTCAGGCACTGTGCATCTTCCTGCACTCCCCAAAGCCTCACCAACAGCCACCCTTGGCCAGGAGGCCCAAAGGCCAGCAGCACTGGGAAGCAGGAGTTTCTGCTCTGCCGGAGGAAGCCGGACGAAGCCATGGAAGATGCCTGCCAGTCCACCACCTCGCCTCCAGCAGGCGTGCTGGCATGTGCTTGGGAGTGGGGCGAAGGAAGTGCCTTCGGACGCTGTGGCCCACGTCAGCATCACCTGGAGGGCTTGTTGAAGCCCGAAACACTGGGCAGGAACCGCAGTTTCTGTCTCAGTAAGTCTAGGGTGAGGCCCGAGAATGTGCAGGTCTAAGTGCCCAGTGATGCTGCTGGTCTGGGACCCCACTGTGAGGACCACCAATGTAGAAAGTGGCGATTTCGAGGGCTGGGGCTGGGGCTCAGAGGTACAGCAATCGCTTAGCACGTGCGAGGCACTGGATTCGATCCTCAGCACCACATAAAAATTAATAAATAAAAAATAAAGGCATTGTGTCCAACTACCACTAAAAATAAATATTAAAAAAAAAAAGAGAAAGTGGTGACTTCGAGCTTAGATTGTGGGAGCTGTGGGACCTCAGCTGGGTGAGTGGGACTCTCCTGTGCCTCAGCATTCCTAGAGGCAAAATGGGGACCAGGAGAGCATCTGCTTCCTGCAGGTACTCAGGATGGCCCGAGACAGGCACATGCCTGCACCCGAGAGAGGCCCCGCAGCAGTCCCCCTGAGGACCCCTCCTGGCCCTCAGCCAGCTGGCTCTCCAGGAGTGGTGGCAGCAGCAGCAACTTGTAAGAAATGACCATTTTGGGGGGCTCCTCTAGACCTCTAAGACCCTCGTGGTAACTTTGTGACGAGCCTGCCATCCATTCTGATACTCAAGCAAATGTCTGACCCCCATGAGAGATTTTGTTAAAAACAAATAAGAAAGCTGGTGGGTGGGGAGAGAGGCCTGGGAGCTGCGAAGGGCCCTGAAGGGCCCTGCAGAGCCCTGCAGAGCCCTGCCTGGCCATGGAAGCTTCCTTCCAGTAGCACAGCCCTGGCTGGGGCCCAGTGTGGGGACGAGTCCCAGAACCACCCAGGCCTGACCTCCATGTTAGACCAACAGGGAAAGATTTCTGTGACCAGTTACCAGTGGCCTCAAATATGGGAACCAGAATAAGATGCATTTCCTGAAATGTGGTTGGGGCGGGATGCAGGAGCCTGCAGGGAGGTCAGCAGGCCCACCTCTGCACAGGGCGGCAGGGAGGCACCAGGGCTGTTGGCCCAGAGGGCCACCTGGTGGCAGGAGGGTGGCTTGCAGGAAGCAGAGGTGGGCAGGGAAACAGGATTCTCAGCTGGACTGCAGCGGGCCCTGGACCCCTCCAGCCCTAGTCATGCCCTCCCTGTCCTCCAGCCCCCAACAGGAAGTTTTCAGCAGACGACATGATTTTGAAACCTTCCAGCCCTGGGTCCCAAGAGGTGGCTCTGCTACTAGCAGGGGAGGAATGCCCCCAGGGCCCCAGAGGGAAGTACCAGAGCTTGTCCGTGGCCTCTGTGGCCTCATCAAACCCCGAGTCCGGACAGCCTGTCCACCCCAAAGTACCTTGCTCCAGAACTCCAGTTCCTCTTCAGCACAGTGACTGCACTGTGCTCCGCGATGCGTGCTCGTGCATGTGTATTGCGAGCGCGCACCTGTGCATCATGGAGATGCAGGGCACCCTAGAAGCCAGGTTGTTCCCTGCCTTCTGGCAGCAGGCGGCAACCAGCGGGTCCCCAGCACGCCTGCCCCCGCCCCGCCCGGCCGGCACTGACCATCTTCTCCGTCTTGCTGAGGTTGACGTCCTTCTTGCTCCTGCGGCGCGCCTTGGCGTCCTCGATGTCCATGAGGCGGATGAGGGGCATGGTGCTGCCGCCCAGCAGCAGGATGGTGAAGAGCACGATGACGATGGTGGTGGTGCCGATCAGCTGCCGCTTCTCCATGGGCTCCAGGTCCAGGTGCAGGCTCAGGGCGTAAGGGATGGCCCCCCGCAGGCCTGGGGGCGGCAGGGTGGTCAGGGGAGCGCGGGGAGGCAGCAGCAGCGGCTGCCCGCCAGGTTGCCTGCACCACAGCCCACGCAGGCCGCAGAGGAGTGGGGACGGGATGGTGCCCCTCCACCCGCTCCACGGCTACAGACATGTGGTGAGGCCACTGACCCGCTAGGCTGCAAGGCACAGGTGCCTGTGCAGGGAGGCCACCAGGCCTGTGACTCATGCTGGCTGCTGTGGGCCAAGCGCTCCTGGGCGCCCCAGGCCTAGGGCTTTGTGCACAGCAGTCTCCAGTGCGCTCCTCCACACACTGAGGAGCCAGGCCAGAGCACATTCGTCCCACCCGGGGCCACCATGAACAGCAGCAGCACAGGCTGCAGTCGGGAGGTGCCCCCTGAATCTGAGGAGGCTGCCTGTGCTGAGCCCCCGGCAGTGCTGGCAGGGCTCTGGCTGCCTGGTGGTGGTGACAGGCTCCTGGGGAGTGACAAGGGTGTGGACTGAGCAGGAGACAGCCCTTCACTCAGTCAGAAACTTCTGGCCACTCTGGCACCCCACAGCCAGACACAGGTGGCCCTGCCCCTGCCCTTGGGAGCTTCCAGAGTGCCTGGGAGGAGTGACCATCAACAAGGACGCAGGAGATGCTGAGTGCGGAGAGGGAGGGCGGGGCAGAGACAGCGCAGGGCCCACACAGGTCCAGGATGGGGCAGCGGGTGGTGAGGGACACAGGCAGGGTCCAGAGCCAGAGGATGAAGCCAAGGGATGTGCTTCCCCTGCTGCCCAGCCAGCGCTGCGAGCCTAGCGGCCCTAGACCTGTCTCAGTGAGGCCATGCTGGCCCCACGACATCCAGGGAGGCACTCGGCAAGGTCTGCTCAGGGGAGCCCGATGAACCCTGAGCTCCCCAGGGAGTGATGACCTCGAGTACAGCAGGGCTGGGCTATGTCCTGAGGTGGTGCTGGCCAGAGCCTGAGGAGACCCCACAGGGGAGAGGGCAAGGGGCCTGCGGGCCTCAGGCAGTGTGGGCAGCAGAGGGAGCCTAAAGCCAGGAGGTGGCTAGGGCGGGGGCTGACTGGGCCCAGCAGGTTGGCTGCAGGTGGCACCGGTGACCAGGTAAGGCCAGTTCCGGGGTGCTGGACAGGAGATGAAGAAGTGGAGACAGTGAGTGAGGGTGGCCTGCCCCAGGTGGCCATGGTGGAGGAGGGGACAGGGATGGGACTGAGCTGAAGCCTGGGAAAGAGAAGAGGCTGAAATGGGAATGGGCGGAGCCAGAGAGGCAAAGTCCTCAAAGAGGATCCAGAAAGACCCAGAAATCATAGAGGAAGGGCTATCAGAGGCCAGCTGGCCTCACCCCCAACACGCGGCTCTGCAGCAGCTGTCCTCCTGCCCTCACTCCCAAATATGGAGCCCCCGTGGCTTTGTGAACTATCTGACACAGTTCTTGGATTTTCTTGGGAGATTTTCACGCCCTGGGATCGACTACTCCAAAGAGTTTTTCGTTTTTCTTTCTTGCACTGCAATTCTTATTACACATATAAAGCACAATTTTTCATATCTTTGTATATAAAGTATGTTCACAAAAAGAGTTTTTCTTCATTGGCAAAAAGGATTAAGAAAAAACCGGGGCTGGGGCCAGGGCACAGTGGCAGAGCGCTCGCCTGGCAGGGGTGGCCAATGGGTTCGATCCTCAGCACCACATAAAAATAAATAAAATAAAGGTATTGTGTCCAACTAAAAAAAAATAAAAATTAAAAAAAAGAAAAAATTGAGCTTCTCTCGTTGTATATGAGTCCATGTGTGTACACACACACACACACACACACACACACGTTTTTTGAAAAAAGAGAAATCTGAGACAAATTTCCATTTGTGCCGCCAGAGAGAACATTATAAAGCATGTTGCTGTATCCAACCCACATGGAAATGTTTCAGTTATAATATTTAAACACGAAAGCACAGAGAACTCTATGTGTTGTTCAAAAATAAATTTAAAGATGGCTGAGGACCGGGTTCTCTAGGAGCCAAAGATTTATGGAGTCATTTCCATCCTTGAGGAAGTAGAGAAACATGATGGAATGGCAGCTGAGACTCTGAATGAGAGCGTCAGAACTCTGTGACTGAAGGAAGAAACACCCAGCATTAGCACACAGGCCTGGCGTGGATGGTGGCAGAGCCTTGCCTGCATGTGCTGGGCCTGGGCCCCACCCCAGCCCTGGAAGACAGAGAATCACCACGTGGTCCGTGAGAATTTTAACTTCTACCTCTTTTATTTTGAGCCATTATGACTTCAGCCTAGAAAACCAGAATTGGCCTGGTCACCCCTGGGCTCACTGGCCTGTCCAGGAGAGGGGTGGACAAAGGAAGGGCACACCCTGGCTCTGTCTCCTGTGGTCACAGGATCCCAAGCATGCCCTCTGTCCCCCAGATCTCAGGCTACTGTGGCCAGGTCGCATCTGGTAGGGGCCTGGCTTACAGTAGGGGCCGTTAAATGGGAGTTTTTTGGGGGCGGGTACCAGGGAATGAGCTCAGGGGCACTTGACCACTAAGCCATATCACCAGCCCTATTTTCTATTTTTTATCTAGAGACAGGGTCTCACTGAGTTGTTTAGCGCCGCCCCTTTGCTGAGGCTGGCTTTGAACTCGTGATCCTCCTGTCTCAGCCTCCCCAGCTGCTGGGATTACGCGTGGGTGCCACGGCACCTGGCCAAGTGGGAGCTTTTATTAATTTTGGCTTATGAGGCACGTTGGCTTTCAGGATTTCTAGCAGGTGGCTTCAGGTTCTCCCCAGCTGGTGTGCACCTTTATTATAAAAATTTTTCAACCATTTACTCAAGATTTGACTTACCGCTAAACCACATGATGAACATCATCTTCGGGGTGATCTTGTGATCGCGGAAGAAGTTCAGGAGGTAGGAAAGCGGGAAAATGTTGACGGCTCTGCCGAACAGCACGAGCACCTGTTAACAGCAGAGAGCCAAGTCCCAGAGGGACACGTCAGCTTCTTCAGGTCCCAGTTTGCCCAAGTCAACGCAGACCAAAAACACACCTGTCACCACGCACCAGCCCCCCTCAGCCATGAAAGGTGTGAATGGTACAACACCAGGCAGAGCCAGCAGTGGGTGGCTAGAGACACAGGCCTGGATGACCCTTGTGGCTCCGTTTTCTCTGGGATCACAGGTGCCCAGCATCATGCCCGCCTGGTTCCAAAGTCCGAAGAAAGGACCAATAAGTGTCAATGAGGGTTCTGGTAATGACAGCAGAACAGAAGCCAAAGGCCTTGCAGAAACATCCAGAATGCAACTTCAGGGCAACCTGCCTCCGATGGTGGCCACCATGGGACAGGTCTGCGCTAATCCTCCCCATGGGGCAAATTCTGGAGGGATAAACCAGGTGTTTCTACCTCAGCCACAGGGACCACGCTCCTCAGGACAAGGAGGGAAGGACTGAGAAGGCCTACCTGGGCATTTTTCTTTGAGCAGAAAGAAAACATTCTACAAGGGGGCCACACACGGCCTAGCCCGTTGCTATGGCTTTTAGTTCCCACCATCTCCAAAGGCATTTAGTCTTAACGAAAAATAGTTTTATGGGGCTGGGATTGTGGCTCAGCGGTAGAGCGCTCGCCTAGCACGGGCGGGACCCAGGTTCGATCCTCAGCACCACATAAAAATAAAGGCATTGTGTTGTGTCCATCTACACTTAAAAAATATATATATTTAAAAAAAAATAGCTGTATGGGGTGGGCTGGGGACGGAGCTCAGTGGCAGAGCGTTACTTAGCAAGGCCCTGATCCCCAGTACTGCAAAAAGAAAAGGTAAAAACCAAACAAAATATAGCTTTATGTAAAGCTTGAATCTTGCCAACCCCAGCCTCCACATGAACGTATTTTAATCCTATTTAGTTTATTTCTCTTAACAAACATGACCTGAGTGTGCTTTGAGTGGTACGCCTCAGAGGGTCAGGTTAACAACGACTGCTCCCAATTATCCAGCGGTCCAGTGCCAGGGGCTGTGCTAAACATTTCACGTGTCCTATCTGCCTGTATCTGAATCTTGCAGCAGTGTTATGGAGTGGGTGCTACCTCCATTTTACAGACAAGCAAACCGAGGCAAGCCGAGGAACTGGGTGAAGCTGACTGGGCAGGAAGAGGTAGATCCAAGGTGTGAACCTGGTCGGACCCCAAAGCCCACAGTCTAGACCACTGAGCTGGGTGTGAGAGTGGAACTATCACTACCTTAACAAAACAGGGGCTCTGCTAGCCGCAGGGCCAGCCTGTGCCTGGTGCTTGGGGGGACTGAGCCACTGCCTGGGGTGTCCTTCCATGTTCCTCCCAGCCCATGGCTAGGACAGTCACCTCCCAGGTTCACCGTAACATCCAATCTCAGCTCCTACACTTTGTTTCAGGTTTAACCAAAGGTGGTCCCTTGACCAAGGATGACAGTAACGGCCACTGTACTTTCTGTAAAAGGCTTTTGCTGCTGTTCTCTTGTCCTGAAACCTGAGTTTGGAGGACAGACAACTGACAAACAGCAACAAGCTCCGGCCAAGTGAAAGGCAGAGAGAAGAACCCAGATGTCAGGGAGGACATCTTTCCCTAGGGTTCCTTATGTCCTCCACGGCTCTCCTGGGTGCCAAGCAGGAGGTCCTTACCAGTTTGCACTTGGTAGGTAAAAGTGCTTTAACAAAGTCTGCTTCCTAATAGCTGGGTTTTAAGTGGAACTGGCAATAAACAAAAAACAATTATGCCACACTCCAACAGGAAGGAGTGTCTTGTAAATGCTTGAAATTAATGAGGGACCCAAAAAGATTAAATTAGGACTTAAGAGTATAGATCAGCTTTTGGGCCTTGGGCTGAAAAAGAATGAGCCCGAACTGAAGAAACAGAGACCAAAGGAGAAACACAGGCAAGGACCTGGAGGTGTTGGGCCAGATGCCCAAATGCTAGCGGTCTCTGCTGTCACTTGAATCAGATGCTTGAGGGAGCTGGACCTTTCTTTCAAATGCTAAACATTTATTTTCCCTCCTAGTCCCCAAAAGGATTCCATTCTGCTGTAGATGATTACATTTCCCTTTTCCTTATTTATTTGAACCCGGGGTGCTTTACCACTGAGCCATGTGCCCAGCCCTGTTTTACTTTTTATTTTGAGACAGTGTCTTGCCACGTTGCTGAGGCTGGCCTTGAACTTGCATTCCTCTTGCTTGAGCTTCATGAGTCACTAGGATTACAGGAATGTGCAGCACTGGGCCCAGCCTCTCTCTTCTTTCTTAAAGGTATATTTCAATTGTTTTACTGCCACCCTCAGCCCAATTATAACCCTGTTTCCATGTCATAAGCATCACCTGGGTAACTCCCCTGGGTGATTCTGAGGAAGTCACCCAGGGTCTGGTAATCTTTACTTTAACCACTATCTAAGGTCATGCTTATAAGTAGGCACATTTGGGGGGGGAAAAAAAAAAAAAAAAAACTGCAGTAAGAAGGCAGTATACATCCATTATAAATTTTCCAGAAAAAGGTCAAAGAAAAAAATCATCCCCATTTTAACAACTGCTGTGAACATTTGTCAGTATTTTCTTTTTTTAAAAAAATGTACTATGAGAGTTTTTTTTTTATTTTTTAAAAGACGTTAATGGATTTTTATTTTATTCATTTATTTATATGTGGTGCTGAGAATCAAACCCAGTGCCTCCCACATGCTAGGCAAGCACTCCACCACTGAGCCCCAGCCCCAGCCCCATCAGTATTTTCTTACATACATGGTTATAACAGGTTGCATAATCAATTTTGAAGTCTGCTTTTATCACCTAACATAAAATTGTATAAATTCGGGCTGGGGATATAGCTCAGTTGGTAGAGTGCTTGCCTTGCATGCATAAGGCCCTGGGTTCAATCCCCAGCACCACAAAAAAAAATAAGAAAAAAAAAATATATATGAGTTTGTTCTTCTTAGGAGAGACCGTAACATTCAAGTGCACTGAAAATTAAAAACTATGCACAAGTCCTTTTCCAGGGTTATTCAGCCACTTAATTTCAATCCCCCCACCCCACCCCGTCCCCCTTGTATATGATTTTTAACAAAAGAGACTTTAAAAACATAAGTGTGTCTATGTAGCTGTTGACTCTGAACAGTTAACAGTTACATAAATGAATCCAGAACATGTTATTGATCTACAAATAAGTATTTAAATTAAAAAAAAAAAAAAAAAAAACAAGGAAAATACTTACTATGCACCAGATGACAAAGGAAATTTCAAACTTGTGAGGGAAACTAAAAATGGACAGGCCAAGAAATGCAAACACACATGTTTCTGAAACAAACCAAAGAATGGATTATTCAGCCCCAACTATTTTCTTCCAATACAGCGCAATACTATTAAGCAAACATGCAGAAGTCATGAGCCAATAAGGCACTTTCTTTTCATTTTCTGGAAAATACTGCAACCCATATTCTGGTCAAACTGTGCTTGGATTCTTTCTTTTCTGTCACACTAGCTACATGGGCTGTTCTCCAGGATTTCCCAAAGTAATGAGTCAACTGTCAAATACGAACTTCAATAAACACCATCCCACCCAGGGAAGATGATAAACCAAATCTGCCCATGTGCTCAGCACTGTTCTTAGCAAGGGTCCTGATAGCAGCCAAGTGGCAAGAGTTCAGAGCAAATGGCTGCAGGCGCCAGATGACAAGCATGAAAGGGCTTTTGGTTAACTTCCCCGCCAGTGCCACAGTCAAGTGACAGGAATGAACATATTGACTGCTGCTGCAGGTTAGAGAGCAGCCCGAGCCCAGCAGGACTTCAGGAAGAGATCCCCTTCCAGCTCTGGGCTTTGCTCCACAGAGCAAAGGAGCCCTGACTTTCTGTGGGCCAGCAGTCACTTGTGTATCTTAAGAAAAAGCACTTTATAAATTTCTGGGCACCCTGCTTAAACTCTGATGACCTCCAGAACTGCCGATTAACCAGGGAGACACGGACTATATTTTAAAATAGCTGAACATCATAAAGCATTAAAACTGTTTAAAAACATTGCAGTAATGTTTTTTCTTCAAACATGAATCTTTTCTTTTTTGGTGCATGCTGAGGATTAAATCCAGGACCTCACACATGACAGGCAAGTTGTCTACCACTGAGCTACACCCCAGCCAAATGTATATATCTCTCTCTCTCTTTTTTAAATATACTTTTTAGATATATAGACCTTTATTTTATTCATTTATTTATATGTGGTGCTGAGAATCGAACCCAGTACCTCACACATGCTAGGCAAATGCTCTACCACTGAGCTACAGCCTCAGCCCCATATATCTTTTAATTTTTTTTTTTTTAATTTGAGAAAGGGTTTCACTAAGTTGCTGGGGCTGGTTTCAAACTTGCAATCCTCCTGCCTCAGCCTCCTGAAATGTGTATCTTTTTAAAGTGAGTCCACAAGCTGAACAATATACTCACCCTTATCCTACTTGAAGGTTTTTTCTTATCTATTAAACATTTTTGTGATCTTTCCAAATCTGCACATTTAGAACATTCATATCTACCTTTTCCCTGGCAGTCTAAATTCTAATCCTGGGTGTATCACGGTTAACCCACCCTCTGCAGATGAATACTTAGTTCCATTTGATATTACAAGCTACAACACCACACCCCTGCACACAGGTTAGATTCCTGAAGACTGAATTGCCTGGCCCAGAGAGTACGTGCCTTTTACATTCAGACAGATAACTGCAAAAGATTCTTCAAGAGCAGCCCCTCCCATAGCTTGATTTCCACTCACCCTGCCAGAACTGAATATCACCAACTTGCCAATTTGCTTAAAAGTTGCCAATCTGATTGATAAGTGCCAAATAGAATTTGACGGATGTTTTGTTCTAGGTTCCTGTAATTGTGAGGATGAGGTCAGAATCTTTAGCCTGGGCTTTTGGAGAGGAATACTGTGGAATAAACACCCACCGGCCCTGGGATACAGAGGCCTGGCTGCCGGCGCCAATTCCTGGCAGAAGGCCACCAGGCCTCACCTGGGCCTCCTTGCCTCCGCATAGCCAGCCCTTCCTCCTGGAACTACTGCTTTAGAATGAGACAAGGCCCCTGAAGTGCCAGGGGATACTGGTGATGACAGCTGGGGCACAGTAATTCAGGGCTAGTGTAAAGGGACAGTGTGACTGGCTCCTTCACTCCCGGGATGAGCCAGGGAGGAGGCAAGTGGGAGCTCAAACTGGAACAGCTCTTCACGGTCCAGCCCAGCTCAGCCAGCACGTGACACCCCCAAATGCACCCTTCAGGATGGCCCGTGGGTAAAGGGCTCCCTGGACGAACCTGGGAATGCTGGGACAGTGTCCCTCTCTTAGAAACCCAAGATGCCCATCTGCTGAAAAGCCCCGGCCCACAGCCTGCTCAGCTCACCAAGGATCTCCCAAACTCTTCTCCTATACAGCTCTGGGCAGCTGATCCTCTTCAGGATCATTTCCAAGGAGAAGTTTTGGACACGTCCCTTCAATACATTGCATGTCCCACTTGTCGGGAGCGAGGCTGGCCCTGGCGGTGCACAGCAGGGCGACAGCACGGGCAAGGAGCCCAGCGTCTGGTGGAGGTTCTGCCTCTGCTGCAGGGAAATCTCCACCAACTCCCACCACAGGGCAGGAAGCCCATCAGGGCTGGAGGGCCCAGGCGCCAGCCACCAGGGAGGACTCACCGCACAAGAAGGCCACGGTCCGGAGGGTTTGCTGCATGAGGATCTGGGTGACCGGGGAGAGGTTATGGTGCGTGTAGTGCGACATCACGATGCCCGAGAACAGGATGGCCATGATGCCTGGAGAGGGACAGAGGGGTACAGACATGAGCGGCAGAACAGCACCTGCCACGGGGCGCCCAAGTCAGGCGACACACTCCTGCAAGCCCCAGAGCCCGGGGCACGAGGGCTTTAGGAAAAAGGAAAATAAAATAATCCCGAGGCCTCCCAGGGCTGCGGGGAGCCGAGCCCTGGCTCTTCGGCACTGGCGCTGGCTGAGCTCCTTCCCTTCCCGCAGCCTGTCTGCTCGACAGTACCCACCCGTGAACTGCTAGGGGGCAAGGGAACACGGGCCACGCAAAGTGCCCACTGTCCCGGCCCCACCACGTGTGCACCGTCACGGCCATCCAGGGGTGTGGGGCAGGTGCAGCTCGGGCGGCAGACAGCCTGAGGACAAGGAGAAGGGGCAGCTTCGGGGGCTTTTTAACTACTTCCCCTTAATCTTGAATTCCCCACAGCCATCATGTAAGGAGGAAAATGTGTATTTAAGCAGGTGACGCGTCTCTTCTTCAAAGCTCTCCACGGCCCACGGCCTGTGCTGCTCAGGCTCCGAGTGCCCAGTCTGTCCCCTGCCCTGCACCCCTCCTAGGCACTTGGCTCTGACTCTTCTCAGCTCACCCCTGCCCAGGTAGCAGGAAAGGGGTCTCCATGTCAAGTAAGGATGCTGGCATTTTAAAAAGCCATCAAACAAGGTGCCAAAACACACGAACTGCACGTCATATTTTATAACAAAAGTTTTAACTCAACTTGTGCCCTTCTGGAGAAGCAGAAGTCAGTTAAACTACCTTTCCATTTACACAGGGGTGAAGACGACAGGATTGTGTCGCAGACGTTGCAGCTGCTGAGCTGAGTGTACACACAACGCCCTAAAGAAACCTGGCAAGTCCTGCTCCCTGAATGGCCCAGGTGCCTGCTGGCTGCGTGAGAGGAGCTGGGACGCTTTGTCCCCTCATTCTCTCAAATTCCTTGGCTCTTTCCCTTCCCTCCAGGAAGAGCCCAGAAACACTTCCCACAAGGCCTGGGCAGATCTCCTCACCGGCCCTGTCGGGGCAGGGGCTCTCTGGAGCTCAGCGTCCCTCTGAATCATGGCTCTACTGGACAAAGGCTGAGCACAACAGAAACTTCAGTTCTTCTCAAGTTCACTTCTCCTCTCCCTAAGTTCCTGTTCCGTACTGGGAGGGAGAGCTGAGCCCTCTGATCTTGCAGAAAATGCAGGCACTGAGGCCATCAAAGGATGGGCTGGGGGTGTGGCTCAGTGGTGGAGCTCAGGCTCCGCAGGTGCAAGGCCCTGGGTCCAACCCCGGCACAAGAGCAAATCAACCAGACAAAGGCAACACCATGCGGAAAGGGCAGGGAGGGAGCACTGGGTGGCCTGGACCCCACCTCAGCTGGAAGACTGGGCGCCGGGTGCAGCGCTGGCAGCCCCTCGGCCACTCAGTCCCATGCTCACAGATCCTGGCTCCCAGCTGTGAAAGGGCTCTTTCCACCAGCTGACTTCAAGAGGGACCATCAATCCTCTGGCAAGGTCAGGCCTTTGTGCTTCTTACTTTGATGTAAAAGTCAACCCAGAGGAGCCCGAGCCACGCTGAAGTCACCACACAAGTGACCTCACACCCGATCGTCATTCCACCCACAGAGAGAAGCTGTCATGGCCATAGGAGTGGACATCAAATACCTATTCTAGAAAGCCAGGGCTGCGGGCAGTCGGATGTGACACAGAGTGTGGAAGTTCTCTCGGGACTGACCACTAGGAGAGCCCATATGGGAGCCTGTGAGACTCTTACCCCCAGGACCATCCTGCCCCAGAGTTCTTCAGGGGGACAGGCTCAGCAAAGAAGGGTTTAGCTGGCCTGTTTACTCAACACTCCTTGGGGGCCACACTGAAAATACAAAGAATAAGCTGGCCTCTAATCCCACCAACTCAGAAGGCTGAGGTAAGAGGTTCGCAAGTTTGAGGCCAGCTTCAGCAATTTACCGAGGCCTACGCAATTTAGTGAGACTATCTCAAAATAAAGAGTAAAAAGAACCGAGGATGTGGCTCAGTGGTAAGCACCCCTGGGTTCAATCCCCAGTAACAACACAAAGAATCAAGAGTCAGCAACGGGGCTGGGGCTGGGGCTCAGTGGTAGAGCGCTCGCCTAGCATGCATGAGGCACTGGGGTCGATCCTCAGCATCACATAAAAATAAAGATACTGTGTCCCCCTAAAACAAACAAACAAACAAAAAAGTCAGCAGGACGGAGGTGGACAGTGGGAGGGTGGTCATAGAAGACACTCGTTTTTCTGGTACTGAGGATTGAACCCAGGGTCACTTAAAAACCGAACCACCACATCCCCAGCCCCCCTCCTTTAATGTTTTGAGACAGGATCTCACTGATTACGTTGGGCCTTGCTAAGTTGCTGAGGTTGGTTTCAAACCTGCAATCCTTCTGCCTCAGCCTCCTGAGTTTCTGAGATTACAGGCCTGCACCATCACACCCAGCAGACACGGCCTCTTTACCAAGGGCTTGCAGCCTGGAGGGTTGGCGGCCAATCTTCCTGCTTGTGTTTTTAGATGCCGGGAATCTGCTGCTCATGGGTATTTCCCAACTTTTAAAGACAGCAACTGATTCAAATCTTTAAAAATTCCCTGTATGAATAAACAAACCCAGTCTGGGAAGTGAGTCCGGACGATGCTGTGCCTGTGTGCTTGACCTACTGATGTTGGAAACGGGCCACCCACAGGGAAGAGTGCCCCACCCAGGGCAGTGCCAGGTGGGGCATATGTCAAGTTCTGGGCTACAGGAAAGAGCCTGGGCCAGCAGTGGGCTCCAGAGCCCAAGGGACAGCTCAGGTGTCTCCCCATGATCCCTCCCTATGCAAAGGGGTCCCACCACCACCCAGACCACCCCATCCACTGCAGCTGCCACCTGTACAGGCTGGAAAAACACCACAGGGGAACAGGGTGACCTAAGCTCACTCTTAAGTGAGATAAATGCCATGGCTATTTAAAAAAATACTATAAGGAAGAAATCCTGACACATTTACCTCTTTATTTAAACCTTTATTTAATTTATTTATTTTTATGTGGTGCCTAGGCTCCAACCCAGCGCCTTACACGTGCCAGGCGAGTGCTCTACCGCTGAGCCCCAGGCCCACATTTACCTCTTTAAGCAGGCAAAATCAGCTAGGTGCTGTGGCTCACGAGGCTGAGGCAGGAGAATCACAGGTTCAAGGCCAGCCTCAGCAACTTAGCGAGGTCCTAAGCAACTTAGTGAGACCCTGTCTCAAAATGAAAAATAAAAAGGGCTGGAGATGTGGCTCAGTGGTGTCCTTGAGTACAATTCCCAGTACAAAAAAAGAAGAAGAAGAAGAAGGGCAAAATCATTTTAGAAAGTAGGTAGCCGGCAGGCCGCGCATAGTAGCACACACCTGCAATCCCAGGGACTGGGGAGGATGAAGCAGGAGGATGGCAAGTTCAAAGGCAGCCTCAGCTAGTGCCCGAGTTAAATCTCTAGTACCAAAACCAAACTCAGCAGAGACACAATGCTTCTTGGAGTTCCTTTCACGGCAGTGCAAACGGACCAACACTTAGTAAGTGGCTGCACGGTATTCCATAGTGAGAATCTTCACTCTCACAGAGTGATCTGGAGGCTCCATCCAACCTCTCTCTGAAGACCCGGATTACCACAGCCCAAAGGCAAAGTGCAGGAGAGGAGTGCCCTTCCCAGGGCTGACGGTATGTTCCTGGCCTGCGCGGCTGTCCAGCGGCACCTGCAGCAACTCCAGAGGAGTCAGTTCCCTCTGATCAGAAAACAGTGCCTCTTGGACAGAAGATACGAAAAACACTCCCTAAATGGATGCATAAAATGTATCTTCCCAACAGGGACTCAGCGCTAATGGCAGGGGGATAATTTTGAGAACCAGAGGTAAAAACTGGTAGGCGGGCCGTGACTCACAGGTAATGTTCAGTAAGCACCAAAGTTCAGAAAAGACAAAGTTGGCAGATGCCGGGAGCAGTTATCCAGGTGAACTGACTCAGGACTGACAACGAAGCCCTGAGGTCACAAGAGGCCCCCAGGGAAAGCAGCCCTTCCCCCTGCTTCCTCCTCCAGGCAATGGACTGCAGAGGGAAAAGGCAGGTCACCCACACCATTAAAAACCTCACCGTGGGTTCTCCCTGTGCCAGGTACTTAACAGCCAGGATGCAGCCAGGTGTGGTGGCTGAACTTAAGAAGAGCTCCCAGCTGAGACTCCAGGAGGGCAACACCACAGAGAGCCCGGCAGGTTCTGGGAGGTTGGAGCTGGGGTAGCTGCACGGAAAAAGCTCTGCGATTCTCCATAAGATCCCTTGAAGCCTTTGCCAGGATGAGATTCCAAGAGGCTGAGGATAGGACCACTGAGAGGTTGGCCCAGCAATCCCTGAGGCCTGAGAGCCACCTGCCTCCCCCCAGCTGGAGCAGTGATGTCGCAGCACATGGGACAAGAGGCCAAGGACTGAGCAGGGCATTGCTTTAGTTAGCACTGCTTCTCTGGAACTGTCCTAACGAAGTTTAAGTCGACCTCAGGCCAGGGGTGATGGCGCATGTGATTCCAGAGACTCAGGAGGCTGAAGTAGAAGGATTCCAAGTTCAAAGCCAGCCCCGGCAACCCTGCCTCAAAATCAAAAGGACTGGGGGTGTAGCCCAGTGTGGGTTCAATCCCCAGCACCACACACACACAAAAAAGTCCAGAACCATATAAAAAAAGACAGTAAAATCTTAAACTTGAGTTCATAATGACCAGCCTCCAATAGAAAATTAATAGCAAGCAAAGAATAGGAAACATGACCTAAAACACAAACAAATTGATAGGACAGACCAAGAATTGACAAAGATTGAAGGAATAGGTAAAGAAGCACTTTAAAATACCTATTATAAATATGCTCAAGAATACAAAGAAAAAAATGAGCATGATAAAGAGAAAAATGAAAGATATAAAAACGGGGTGGGGTCATGGCTCAGTGGCAGAGCGCTTGCCTGGCATGTGTGAGGCACTGGGTTAAATTCTTAAAAGAAAGGAAAGAAAGAAAGGTATTGTGTCCATCTACCAAAAAAAAAAAAAAACCAAAAAACAGAGAACTTCTGTAGATGAAACAACACAATAGCTAAAATGAGAAATACACTAATAGGATTAACAGATACCCAAATGGCAGAAGAAAAGATCAGTGAACTTGAAGACACACTGGTAGAAACTAACTAAAATAAATCACATATGTATATGTGTGTGTATATATAAATAGTATCTCTATATTTAAATATGTGTATGACTAAAAAAAAAAGAGCACACTGTGGGCCAGTAGCACACATGCAGTCATAACTGGAGTCGCAACAGGGGGGCAGAGAGAAGAAAAGAAGAAATAGGTAAAGAAATCACCAGTTCAATGAAGGCTATACACACCTAAACTATCAACCCAAAAATCTCCAGGGGGCTTCCCAGAGGAATCCCCAGAGAACCACACCCAGGCACATCCAAACCCAATGGCCATGCCTCTTCTGGGAGGGATAAGCTTTTTAAAAATTAAAATAAGAGTCATCAAGGAACTGGACTCTGTCACATCCTGGTGGGAATGTGACATGATACAGCACTTTGAAAAACACTTGGCAGGTTTCTAACAAAGCAAAATATATATTTACCATATGACCCACAACCTTCCTCCTGATATTTAACCCAAGATAAATAAAAACATGCATACATGTTCATAGTCCCAAAGGTAGAAAGACCCAAATGTCCTTCAAATGGTGAATGGCCAGCAGACTGTGGTGCCAAGAAGCGTTTAAGTTACTGATGTGCGAGAACACACACGCTTCTCAGGAACAGCACAAGTGAAGGAAATGAGTCCTGAGACCAAAGACACACGAGCTCCTTCACCACCATGTGGAGAAGGCGAAGCTCCAGTGACCAGAAGGTCAGGGCGTGCCAGGCTTGGACAGCCTGAGGGCATAAGGGAACCCTGTGGGGAGATGGAACGTTCCACATGTTGACTGTGGTGGCAATGTGACTGCATATGGTTGTCAACGTCCACAGAATGTATACTTGGAATAGGTATGTTTACTACAGGTAAGTCAAACCTGGACCAAGATTTAAAATAAAACAAGAAAGAACAGAAAAGAAAAGCCTCCCTGTGGCAGAGAGCTAGCCAGCCCCACAGCAGGGGCTCCTTCCAGAACAAGGCCTCTGAAGGGCCTGCAGGGTGGGGTCAAGGCAGACCCTCCCTCTACGCTGTTCAGCTGCCCCTCACACAGGGGAAGCGGGAGCCAGGCTCCAGGTGCCAGCACAGCCTCCATCTCTAGGCCAGCGCCCTAAAAACTTGCAGTGGACACAGGCTCACCTCCCGCTGGGAGGAAGGCCTGTCCTGCATGCCTGACGCGGAGGGGGAGGGCTCCAGCAGCACTACCTGTGAGGGGCCACCCCTCCTGCAGCTGGGAGCAGGGTTTCTAGAATCCCATCCCAGAGCCATCTCCGCTGCTGGAAACCACACCCTCCTCCCCTGGGTGCAGGGAAAGGGCATTTGAAGCTCAGGGCCACCACTTACTGCCTGTGCATCTCTGAGATGATGACTTAACTTCCTAGAGCCTACTCCACGGGGCTTGTGGAAAATTTAAAAAGTGAACCCAAGCTGGGGCATGGTGGAGCACACCTGTAGTCCCAGCTACCTGGGAAGCTGAGGCAGGATGCTGCCTTCAAAGCCAGTCTGGGGAACACAGTGAGACCTCATCTCAAAAGACAAAACAAAATGGAACCCTGAATACAGGTTCACTGTGTCCAACACACCCCACCGTGATAGCATCACGTCACACTTTCTTGTGCCTCTGAACAGCCCTTGGTATGTGGTTTCACGATGACCTGTTTTGGAGGGACCAGGTTAGAGAAGCATCGGTTGTTGAATCAAGTCAACTACTATGCATCACTACTCTGCCAATTTCAGCTCTGACCTCAGGCAACATATTTCATTTCTCTCAACTTTGGGTTTCTCATCAGTATAACAGGGATCCTCACAGTACCTCCCTCCCACAGCCACCTACCTACAAGGGAGCCTCCTAAGACTGACGGTTAAATGAAAGAAGGTGGGTAAAGACCCCAAATGGCTGCGCCCTGGAGATGGTCAGGCCTGAATTTCTAGGCACCATGAACCCTCTTTAAGCCTTAATCCCTTCTGAGTTGACTCTGCCTCTCGCGATGGAGAGTGACCCAAGTGAAAAACTTTTCGACAGAAGGACAATAAGCCATTGCCACAGTATTTCTAGGGTCTGTCACTTACCTGAGAGTGAGATTCCTTCTGCAAGCCCATAAGGCAGATAGGCAAAAATGATCATCATGCCAAACTCCAAGGAAGGCGTTTTCCTCAAGTCAATATGCTTTAGCACGTAAATGGCAATCGTCAAGGAAAACGAACCAGGGGCTCTTGATAGAGAAATCATAGAACTGCAGCTTTCCAAATGCATGAAGTAGACAAAGGAAATGAAAGACTTGAGCATCCCAAGGTTCCAACGGCAAACTAATCATCATGGATGCTTCCTACTCCACGGGGCTTGTGGAAAATTTATTGTTATAAAAAAGGGAAACTAATAAAACACTAAAAAGTACAAATTCCTATGATAAATAGGGGAAAATTCAAATCAACTACTTAAAAAATGCTGACTTAGAGGACTGGAGATGTGGGGTAACAGGACAGTCTGGGCTGCAGACACACAGAGGGACAGGCCACAATGCTAGGCCACCTTCCCACCTCCTAGGAGGACTCAGAAGGGACCGTCAATGGGTGCCTGTTTCCAGGGACTCAAGGCCCAGTTGAAGGACTGTGTCCCCGTCCCTGCACACTTCTATACCACAGCCTTGTGTAAGGAGGGAGTCGGAGCCTGCTCACATGCTGCTCACGGGCCTAGACGGAGCTCAGGGACCCATCACTCTACTCTGCCTCACTACGCACATGCTCTGCAGAGAAGAAGCTCAGTGTGCAGGAAACGCTGAGCAGGAAGGCTCGCTCTCCTGCCCATTCTGTTTATTGGTTCAATATGAAAAGCTGTCAGCCGCCTCGAGAGAGCTTTAGGCTTCTGGACAGAGGAGCCGATGGGAAAATTCAACAGAGTGGCAGGAAAACACTCCAGGCAAGAGTCTTCCGGCCATCTGTGAAACAAACTGCTTATGGAAGAGGGCCAGGTGGCCACGTCCCGGCTGGCGGCTCGGCACGTGCAGAATGGTCTGGTGCCGGCTCATATTTTAAACATGATGGATTTTCAACGGCAGGTGAAGCGCCTTTGCCTTGACAGGCCTCTTTTCTGCTCTGGCTGGAAAAGCTCACGGTTGTTAAGAAACAAAATCAGTGCAAATAACTTAGACGGAGCTCACTTCCAAAGGCTCTTTCCAATCACGTTCAGCTGGGAAAAGATTCTGTCAATTCCACATTTTTGAAGAAATCCCATTTCCAATATTCTGTATGTGCGAACTGAGACAGCCGACAAGGAAAGTCATCGGAATGCAGTCATTATCCTGACAGCTGAGAACGTCCCCGGTCACACCTGATGACTCCACAGTGCACAGTGTTGTTAAGCTTGGAAAGTGATATCCTAAATTTCATGTTAAATTTTAATTCCTTGAGTCTAGAGTATTTCTCAAACCAAAACTAAACATGGCTTCCTTTAAACAAAATCTGGATTAAACTGGCCCCGAAGGAGCAGGAAGAGCCAGCTCCCGATGGGTGCCACTAGAGGACCCCACCCTGGATCACACCAAAAGGATATTAATGCAGAAATCAAGCCAGTGAGGGTGCCGAGTGCCGCAGAGCCAAAGAACATTTTGAGGAAGTAGCCAAGGGCTTGTAAAAATGTTTGCCACCCACTGACATCTGACGTATTCTTTCTTGTTAAACCTTCAGCTGTGCTAGGAAATAAAGGATAATATAACGAAGTCAAAATGTTATATCAGGCACAGTGGCACATGCCTGCAATCCCTACGATTCAGGAGGCTGAGTCAAGAGGATGATAAATTTGAGGCCAGCCCTGACAACTTAGCAAGACCCTGTCTCAAAAATAAAATCAAAAGGGCTAAAAGGCTGAGGATGTAGCCCAGAGACATAGCGCCCTGGGTTCAATCCTCAGTACCTCAAAGAATAAAAATCAATAAAAAGTTAAAATATTATAGACAATGTTCTTAGAAATTCAGAACTTAAAACTTATTTCTTGCTTATTTCCTTATTCCTTCATTATTACACTGTTCAGCCAGTCAGATGTGTATCTCCGTTCCCCCAGTGTGCCTGGGATGCTGCATTAGTTTCTGGGGACTGGGCGATAAGAGCAGCGTCCAGCACCCCAGGAGCTCTCCCTAGTCTGAAGGAGAAACCCAAGATGGAAATGAATGGGGGGGGGTGGCAGGGAGGGCTGCAGAAACACGGCATGGAACTCCCACTAAGGGGGGAGTCAAGGAAGCTTCTAGAACAAACGTGGGCTGGATTTAGATACAGGATAAAGAAGAGATCAGGAAGGACCCTGCGGGGGTGGGGAGGCAGGGAGCCCAAGCGGTGGACGCACTCAAGTGCTTGGATCAGTGCGGCTACAACACAGAAGCAGGATGTGGGGACAGGTGGGGGGCAGTGGCAGGAGACAGGAGAGCAGCAGGCGGTAGTGTTTCACCCTGACGATGGGGCAGGTTTTCATACCAGACACCTGCAGTGACCCTGAAACTGAGACCATGGCAAAAAGCCAGGCTGGAATGGAGCCGCCCAGAGAAGAAATGTCAGAGGTGCAGGGCGAGGGGAGGATTGAGGAGACATTAAGGAAGAAGAATTGAGAGAACTCTCCTTTTGCTCTAACAAAGACTAAATAAAATGTCAGAAGCCATAAAATTCAATTGTGGGTTTTGTCCTCAAAGGGAGGACACCATTCCCACGCAGCCATTCTATTCATTACACATCCTCCTCCACCCAGTCCCAGGACTCTCAGGACTCCACACACCTCTCTCCTCCCCGCCTCCTCCCTCCCAGAGTCACTCCTCCCCAGTTTCTATAGACATCCTCCTCTTCCTGCAGGCCAGCTGGGGCTGAGTTCCGCAGCCTGAGCAATGCACGCAAGCAGGCCAGCAGCCAGCTCCAAACTCCTCGGCGGTGTCCTGACACTTCCAGGAGGAAGCCCCGTCTTCCAGGTATGACCTAGCTCCCTCACCTACCTGAACTCATCTCCCATTCAGGTGGGCCACACTGTCACTGGTACCTCCCTGGAGGTCACCTTTCATCTTCCCTGGCCCCAAGTGAAATCCTCCAATGGACCCTAAGCACCCAGTGTCAGTGCCACTCCCCCAGGACACCTACACTGACCCCGTAACACAAGCCAGCCCAGATACTGGCCTTCGTGGTGCCTGACTGCTTCACACCATGTGAAAACTGCAGGGAATCATTTCCATGAAGACCAAGCCTCTGTCCACCTGGATCACTGCCACCAGTCCCAGGTCTATCTAAAGCACAATCCAGCACATGAAAGACACTCAGTACATTTTTGTTGAATCAGTAAATAAAATCAAGAATCTCTAGCAGCACCACACAGCTTCATCGATCAGCATTTCATTTGAAAGTAGAAAAATCTCTGTCAACAGGGCAGCTTGGTCAAGTCACCCAGGAAACCTTTGTGGAGACTCAGCACAGAATAACATACCAAGGATTCTGAAACGCCTTGCAAAAAAGGAACCTAACTTTCTTCACACCAGTTTTCCACTTTCCTGAATGTTCGATCTCCCCCACCTCCTGTCTTTTCCAAAAGGTTACTAGCTCACAAATGTGAGGCCAACGAGGGCTCTCCCTAGAAAAGTGCTTTGGAAGGTCAAGGTCATCTGCAGTTCCCCACAGGGACCTGGGGATCACATACTTGACCCCAGGCCTGCAGCCCCACCCTTCTCCACTGCCTGCCAGAACACAGGTGTCTCTGGCTATTTTCTTTTTATACAGAGGAGGTGAAGACCCAAAGACCAACTAGGATTTAGAGCAGACCCAGGGCTGGCCAGCAGGCTCTGAATGCCAGAAAAATGAAAGCAGGATCTGGGTTCTTCCTGGCTTAGCAATTTTTTCTTCTTTCTTTCTTTTTTCAGTACTGGGGGTTGAATCCAGGGCCTCGAGCATGGCTAGGAGAGTGCTCTGCCACTTAGCCACATCCCTACCCTTTGCAGAAACTTTATTTTGAAACAGGGTCTTGCTAAGTTGCTGAGGCTAGCTTCCGACTTCAATCCTCCTGCCTCAGCCTTCCAAGGCAATGGGACTATGGGGTGTGCCACTGCCCTGCTGGGTTTTAATTTTTGTATATAAGGTGGAGGCTACCACGTCTGACCCTCTTGTTCACTTCTCTAGGGTGGCTTTCACCCAGCATGCATCAAAGTCATCAAGTCCAACTTGTTTCTGAGCAGCATCTGGTACCAGAGGCAGAGGACTGACAATCAGCCGTTAGCATATCTGTAGTCAAGGAGGCTGACTTCTGAGGGGCAGGGTCGCCCCAGTGTTACCAATGGCAGAGGGAAGGAAGTCTGGGAACTGGATGCATGCAGTCCAGAGATCCCACTGTGGAAACAGTCACCACAGGCGATCTTGGCCTCAGAGGCACTTCCACTAAGAAAGAACCTTTGTCTATATACAATGACGTCATCAGCTCTTGTTTTTCAAAATATCTCCTAATCTCTGGCCTTTTTGCAGCAGAGACCTGGAAAAGCTCAGAAAAGGTCATGACAGATCTTTTCTCTTTAAATAAATGAGAGATGAGACAATTCAGTTTAGCTCCTAATGTATAAAAATAACTCATGATGTTAACTCCAAATCAGGCAAAATTCCTTATCACAAATTTTCAATATGTTACCAGGATATGAGATAAAAGTAAAAACCAGAGAGCTAAGCGGCTTTCAGAATAGACCTTAGATAAGAAGAACACACTGTGCCAGGCACGGTGGCATATGCCTGTGATCCCAGAAGTTGAAAGGATGAGGCAGGAGGACCATAAGTTCAAGGCCAGCCTCAGCAACTTAGCAAGGCCCTAAGCAACTTAAGACCTTGTCTCAAAATAATAATAATTTTAAAAAGGGCTGGGGATGTGGCTCAGTGGTTTAGTAACTGTGGGTTTAATCCCTGGTAACCCTCCACCAAAAAAAAAAAAAAAAAAAACCCTCATTGCCACCAGATTTGTTTTTGATTCTGGGGATGGAACCCAGAACCACACATATGCCAGGCAAGTGCTCTACCACTGAGTTACACCCCCTCCCTTTTTATTTTGAGACAGGGTCTCACTAAGTTGCCCAGGTTGGCCTGGAACTTGTGATCCTCCTGCCTTGACTTCTCAAGTAGCCAGAATTATAGGCAACTTCCAGTACAGGCACCCAGTGCCATAGATTTTTTGAAAGGTCTTACGGCATGCTATATGATAATTTCCTAATAAAACTATATAAGTTTTTGCCAAAATAAATGGAAAAAAAAAAAAGGTATAGGAGCTGGTCCAGAGTCTTACAGCTGAGGGCATCGACAGGACTTGAACCCAGGTCAGCTTGACTTCAAAACCTGGGTTGGGGCTGGATGTACGGCTCAGTGGTAGAGCACTGGCTTAGCATGTGTGAAACCCCCCAGTTCTGTCCCCAGCAACAAAGGGAAGAAAATGGGCTCTCTCTACTACAGAATACCATATTATTCCAACATATGAATTCTGACATCTTATGATTCATCTTTAATTTCTCAGATCCTATCAACCAGGGCAGTAATACCAGTGAATGTTTGAAAACGATCTGTAGTTTTCAAAGTAGTTTTACACCACAGCACCTGCAGGTGGGACGCCTGTGGCTATGAAAACGAGGGCCTTGTGCAACACCTGGGAAGCAGGAGAGGAGGGCCTCTTGATCACCTTTTTTTTTTTTGCTCCCAGGATGGAACCCAAGGCCTCAGGCATGCAAAGCCAGCACTCTGCCATTGAGCCTGCACCCTGGTCCTGTCTGTTGCTTCTGTCTCCAACAATGCTTCCCACGGCCTGGAGAACACACAAAAAGCCAAGAGGGGCCAGCACAGCGACACACCTATCACCCCAGCTACTCAGGTCGAGACAGGAGGACTGCAAGTTCAAGGCCAGCCTGGGCAACTTGGCAAGACGTTGTCTCAAAATAAAGTTTTTAAAAAGAGCTGGGGCAATGGTTGACCGAGAGAGTGCTTGCCTAGTAACGTGAGACCCTGGGTTCATTCCCCCCGAACCCCCCCTGCCCCGCCTACAAAAAATAATAATAGTTCTGAAACCAACTGAATCAGAGACTGAGGTGGGACCTGAAAATGTCACATTGAATAAGCACCCTCAGTGATGCTAACAAGTTGAGCCCAGAAACCACCACTAACAGTTCAGAAGACTGGATTCTCCTAGTCACTCCTGGTCCTGATATATTCCTATGGCACAGAATGGCTTGTCAGTGCACAAAGATAGAGAACCACAGCAGGTGAGCCAACTACCCAGAGAACAAGCCACTGTACAGGTAGCTGCGTGGAAATGTCTGAAACTTTTTTTTTTTTTTTCTTTTTTTGGTACTGGAGATTTAACCCAGAGGCACCTAAACATGGAGCCACATGCCCAGTCCTTTTTTTTTTTTTTATTCTGAAACAAGGTCTCACTAAGTTGCTTAGGGTCTCACTAAATGGCTGAGGCTGGCCTTGAACTTGCAATCCCCCTGTCTCAGCTTGCCAAGCTGCTGGGAAAACAGGCATGTGCCACTGCACCTGGCTGAAACATTTTTTTTGATGCTGGGGATGAACCCAGGCCCTGGAGAATGCTAGGTCAAGTGAGTGCTCTACCACTGAGCCATGCCCCAGTCCTCTTCTGACAATTTGTTCCTGGGACTGTTGGTTCTATGACACCCACACTTACTTGGTCAAGACAATGGAGACGGCATCGTTGAGAATACTTTCTCCAAACACCAGCATGTTGAGCACGGGGTCCACATGCAGAGCATTGAAAATAGCAATAGTGGCCACGGGGTCAACAGCAGATATTAGGGAGCCAAATGCGAAACTGGAAGAAGAGAGAAGGAAATCTTGAACACGATGTGCTTGGTCCACACAGCAAAGCGTCGCAGTCAGTGCCTGTTTCACACAATGTGAGGTGCACCAGCTAGAGTACTGACAGGAGCTGGTGTTGGCCCACTATATCTGCTGACTGGCCTTGCAGGTGGAGCAAGTCAGACCCATTCCAGAAGGAGCTGCTAGAAATGGTCTGGTGTCCCCAGCAGCACTGTGACTTTATTTTGCCCAATGCTGGATGGAAGACTTTTGCCTACATACATCACACACCAACCAGCCCTCCCAGTCAGAGCAGTTGAAGCCCAGTGGTTCACAACCTGCTGGGCCTGACCTCTGCCCCATGCAACTAGGTGGTCTTAGTGCCACCCTGTGACCAATGCCAGTCTCCAGATGGCAATATCTAAGAAAGTGCCAAGCTGGGCATGGTGGCACATGCCTGTAATTCTAGAGGCTCGGGAAGCCAAGGCAGGAGGACTGCGAGTTCAAGGCCAGCCTCATCAACCTAGCGAGGCCCTAAGCAACTCAGTGAGACGTCTCTAAATAAAATATAAAAAGAACTGGGATGTGGCTCAGTGGTTCAGTGCACCTGGGTTCAATCCATAGTACAAAAACAAAGAAAAAGCCAGGGCAACTCCAGGGGGTGGCTTGGGTGGCAGACACCAACGCCGTGCTGGCTCCCAACCAGGCCCTTGGGACTCACGGACAGTGCCCAGGATGACGGAATTGCCTCTACCAAGTCACCACTTGAATTGTTCCAGCCACTGAGGATTATCACAACAGCAAGCTACCTGTGGCACACACTGGGTCCCAGCCCTGTCCCAGGCACTCTGCACACAGTTCCTCAGCAATCCACACAGAGGGTGTGGAGACAGCCCGGCTGCTGCCTGGCTACAAAGGCCCGACGGCAGACGGGGTGAGGGGCTCATCCAGTCAGTCAGCTAACGAGGGGCAGGATCAGACTCGAACACAGACTAACTATCTCCGTCCTGCTCCACCCACCTGGGTGGCTATGGCACTAGCCAGAGACTCAGCCAAATTTAGAAAATGGCAAAGTGTGACACAGGAAGTAAATGGGATGATGTGAGAACCAGTAGCCTGGCAGAGAGAGGTGTGTGAGAGCCCATCTGATTGAGGGGTCAGGAAAGGCCTGACCCCGTGTGCGCAAGCACCTACATGACAAGAAGCAGCGGGCAGGCCAAGGTGATGGGGGCAGAGGTACATCAAGTATCCCCAAGGTGGGAGCAAGCCTGGCAGGTGGAAAGCAGAGGAAGGTGCTCATGGCAGGGTGGGTGGCCAGGGCAGGAGACCTAGAAGTTTGTGAGGGAGGTGGCCCAGGTCCCCTGGGGTCCTGTGGGCCCTAGGGAGTCGGGATGATTTACTGATGGCCCTCCTTGGCTCCTCCTGGGTATGTGCACTGGCCTACAGTGCTTCAGTCCCCTCCCTGCTGCGACAGCTTCTCTCGACAAAACAGAAAGCCTGGGGGGTCTGGCCCTGCAGCAGAGTCGCAAGCCAGACTGTCACCAAGCTTGCAATCTGGGAGAGAAAGGAGCGACACTCAGCTTGGGGCAGAGAGTGCACTTCATGGACTCTGCCATCACCAAGACTGCCCACGGGGGTCCCACCTGGCTGCCCTGCTCATCACTCTCCCCTCAGTCACTCTCTCTCTGGCCCTGGGGTTTCCACGGCAGCGCCCTATGGAGTGTGAATCCAGGCAGGAGAGCCTGCAGCACATGCTGAGGACAGACCCCGGAGAGCAATCCCTGCTCAGGCTCAGCTCTGACTCCACCCGACCTGCGTGTAGGCTGCCTGTCACCTTCGCTGTCACCAGAATCCATGAAAGGCACAGCCCTAACACCTGTGGAAGGAAGGCAGGCAGGGCACGGAGGGGCGTGAAGAAAGGCGACTCCCAACCACCTGCAAGTGGGAGGCCCAGACTGCAGCCCTGCACAGCAGCCCAGCCTGGCCTTCGCTCTCACCTGGCCCTAGCAACAGGGCAGGGAGCATGGGTGCGGCTGTGTGCTGCACCCACGTGCTGGCTTGGCTGGCCCTCTTGCCACTCCTGAGCAGAGCACGTGGGTGCACAACTCAGCATCCACACCTGTCTTGGTGACAGCCACACCTCCTACTCCCCACTCCTGTCGCCACGCGGCTCTAGATGTGTCACGAGGCCCAAGCTTGGACAATGAGAATATCACTGGAGGTCTGCGGTGCAGCCCTTTTGGCAGGGATGCTGACAAGAGGTGACGTGAGCCTGGAGCCATTGGTACTGCCACCCAGGGCGAGCTCACCAAGGAGCAGGCCAACCTGAGGGGGTCTGGGCTAAGGTGCAGTGACAGACAGGCAAGACTCCCACATGGTAGTCCCCATAGGGTATCATGCTAGATGCCATCACCTTGGGGACACTTCGGTCCTGTAAACTTCTTCCTCAACAAACTTCTTCATCTTTTTTTTCTTTTACCTAAACCAGTTTGCACTAGCTTGAGCTGCACAGTAGCTCTGACATCCTGAGGATCCACAGGAGCACTGGTGAGGGACAGCAACAGGCCCCAGTCTTCAAGGGCCAGGAGCTACAAGTTCAACTTAAAAAAAAATGGGTCTTCTTTATTTTAATCACCTCAAAAGTTAGCAACATCAACAAAATGCAAAGAAAACTGTGGGAGGCCATCCTCGCACGTGATCCGAGTCACCTCCCCGGCTGGGCAAGAGGCGCTTAGACACATCCTTGTGTCCAGAGCTTTCCCCACCCTTCTCGGGTCCAAGGGCTTGTCTGTGTGGAGGCGTGCCTGGCCACAGCCCCTGAAGACCCAATCGTCTCACCGGACCTTGGGACACTGCCTGCCTTAATCTTCATTGGATGGGATTTTCCCCAGAATTTTTTGTTCCCCAATAAAAGTCCACTCCCTGGCGTGTTCTCTCTCTCGCTGGCCTCTTCAGTAAACCTCGCTATCATAATAGGCAGCTGGAGGCTGGGGGTACGGGAGGGAAGCCGTCCTGAGCTGGTTTAAAGGTAATTAGAGTCTGTCTCTTTAATTCAAACTCCCTTTGGATTTCCCATGAAGTCGAACCTTCACCTGAAAAGTTGAAAAAAGCCGGTGCTGGCCCAGGCTAAAGAAAACAGCCTCAGGTGGTGAAAAACCCGGAATTTTATTTAGGGTGCACTCTCTGTCCAGCAGAAACATCATTAAACCACCACCTGTGCCACGGGGTCATCTTTGTGTTTTCTGCCCTGCACAGGCTGCATCAGGTGACCTGTGGGTCTCATTGTGGCCTACATGTGCTTTTGGGAAAATGGCATTGCTGTCAACAACATCAACAACAAAAGCCTGGACCATTCCAGTCAGGTGCGGTGGCGCACACATGCCATCCCAGCACCTTGGGAAGGTAAAGGAGGTAAAGCCAGCCTCAGCAACTCAGCGAGGCCCTGAACAACTTAGTGAGACCCTGTCCCAAAATAAAAAATAAAAACCGCTGGGGATGTGGCCCAGTGGTAAAGTCCTCAGGTTCAACTCACAGTACCCAAAATAAAGACAAAAACTGGACCATTCCCTATAAACATCTAGAAACTACAAATCTAGCCAGTTTTTAAAATAATTTTAACCAGTGTTGTGCACTGGAGAGCGTTTGCTTCGTGTACATGAGGCCCTGGGTTCAATCCCAGCACCAAAACAAAAACTTCAAACATCTAGTCATTGTGGGCCACATGTCCACTGGCCCACATTATGTGGAGGAGCTGAGAAGCACTGCAGCCCTCAGACACGTGTCTCCAGTGGCCACCGTTCCACCTCCACCACACCTGACACCTGCCCTCTGCCAGGGGTGGGGTGGGTCTGCTCCTACCGTTTGGCTGTAGGCGACTCTCTCCCCTCCCCGACCCCAACACCCCAACCACAGCTTCAATTCAATTTCACAAAAGTGAATCCAGCAGCATCGTCTCTAGCCAGTTGCCCCCAAATCTGGTCGAAGGTCTGAATGTTGGACACCTACCCTCATGTCAGTGGGGTGCGGGGCATTTCTTTTCACTTGTGCAATCAGGGACCAAATGGGCTTTACTCTGCCTCCTAAGGAACAGGAGTGTAACTCCGGCTACTTCTTCACATATCAAGACTTTCCTACAACAAGAGCTCCAATACTCATGTCTCAGGAAGGTGCGGGAGGCAGGGGGGACAGTGGAGGTGGAAAGGGGATGGGACCCGTCATCAGAGGCACATTTCTCATGAAAAGGGTTCTGAATTTTAGTCCTAAGGTACTAGGTTGCTGCTACAGTCTGGAAGCTCTGGCCGCTCGTATTAAGGACCTGGGACTGAGTCCTTGAGCCATCCCCAGCAAGCCACAAGGCCAGACCAGGAACCAAGGTGCAGGGGGACACACCCCCAGCTGCACTGAGCGTGGAGCTTTGCTAGTCTGACCTCCTGAGATCCAGCTGCCGGGGCTCGCTCTTCTTTTTCTTTAAGATGGGGTCTGTGCCCTCACACTCGCATGCCCGGCTCAGCCATCTGAGTGACCGGTACTATAGGCATGTGCCACCATACCCGGGCTGCTGCTTGCTAAGTGACTGAGATGATTTCTGGATAGACTCCTAGGTAGCAGCTCACTGGGTAGTGTTCCCGGGGGCAGCTGCAGAGTGACATGGACCCATGACAGGCCTACCTCAACCACCCCTCCATACCTAATCTATCAAGAAGGCAGCCTTTCATCATGGCTACTGAAAAGACAGTGATCCGTTGAAAATAATTCTTAATAATGATAAAAGGACAGCGGGGTAGCATGTGGGTGGGGGTGGGGTAGGGTGGAGGGATGGGCGGGCAGTGAACCGACCAGAGCTGGGCACTCAGAGCGGAGGCTAGATGAATGTTTCCACCAGCAGTGCTCTGACTAGACACCTTCAAAAGGGATCTTCACTATAATTTTGATTCACCTCAGAGACACAAATTAATTCAGAATAGATTCTGAAGCAGAGACCATCAGCAAGTGGGGAGGGAGAGAGGAAAGAGAAAAGTACCACACCCAGGAAGCAATGTGCAGAAAATTCCCCGGGCCTGAGCAGCAGTCACATGGAGCTACAGTGTGAAGGATTTACCTGTCTGTCATGTTGAGTTTAGAGATGACGTCAGCCTGTAAAATAAAACACACAAACACACAGACACAAAAAACCCCTGGAGAACAGCCAAGAAGATTAAAATGTCCATTAGTGCTTTATTACCAACTAATAAGGACATTCATCTTCAGTCCCCAAACCAATTGAAAAATTAAGTTTCAGATACAGTGTGCATCAATCAGACCATAGAAGTATGGACACAGGGTACATTTTCCAAGCCCAATTAACTGCATGCAGTTTTCTTCTCTATAGTTTATTCCTCTTTGATACTAGAAGCTGAGCAATGAAGAAAGTGGCAAGGCAGACAGATTTATTCTGGTGCCCTTGAGGCAGCACTAAAGGTGAGGATCAGGTGGAAGGGGCTTTGGCTATCAAGAGAAGAAAACCCCACCACACCAAGCACAACCTGCCAGCAACCCAGTGCCTGAACCTCAACTTAAGTTCTCAGCACCAGGGCAGGCAAACCTGACAATAAAGAAACAGAACTGGGGGCGTGCATGGATGCACACGGTGTCAACCTACAGGAACCTGGTCTCAATTAATGCAAATTAACCAAAGTACAGAACACCCAACCGATGCCACTGTGAAGTGGCTCAGAATGGTGGAAAATCCAGAGCACATAATTCTACAGGTGGACTGTTTAGAATTGAGCGAACAGATTCAGAATCATATTTGACTTAAAATGTAAATTTTTATTAAAAAACAACATTCAACACCAATTCTACCTATCAGACAACATAACTGATAACTGTTAGCAAATGAAAATCATGATGGTATATACTCTGCTTCATTTTTAGATGTTTAAGACAACATTAGTTTGCAAATAAGATCAATACTTGAGAGATAATAGGAGAGATTCACTCAAGTCCAGCTTCTTGGGGGACCCTTGGAAATGTCCCCACGCTTCTGCCACATCTCCTGTGAGTTGGGATCTCCTCTAAAAATTGCAATCCCTGCCCAGGAGGTGCCCACCCTGCCTCCCACACAAGCTCCTGAATCTTCAAAGGCTTTCAAAGATGTTTTTCTTACCTGACCCAGAAAATAGATTCCTCCACCTACTACAAAAGCAGAGATCGCTGTACCAAAAACAGCAAACAGAGTGATGGAACCAATATTCTGAAAGAAGTTACCCTGTGTGAAAGAGCAGAGAGCAGAGAAACGGTCAGAGGGCTGGCCTGCCGGGGAGGGTGGCCCTCTCTGGAGCTCCACTCTCAGGGAACCATCACCTGCCCTGTATGGCAGGCTGGGAACCAGAGTCCTCCATACCCACGTCGGCATCCCCATGCCGTTCATGTCTCCCTGTGCCCCCCTCCTTGAATCACCTCTCACCCAGACCCCAGCTTCTTACAGCCCTCGCCAGCACTCTCTGAGCACTTCCAGAACGATCTCTGCCAAAGACAAATCCGATGGTGCTACCTGCACCCGACTCCCTCTGCTCCAGATGCAAATCCCAACCCTATCGGCCCAACCCCTGGTAAAGCCTCTGACCCCATCTGGCACCATGCTGTCCTTTGTTCTCTGGGTTCTGGTCCACATGGATGTCCTGCTACCTCTCATCACCCTAAGACCTCAGTGCACCTCCACTCCTCCTGAGCAAAGCCTTCCCTGCGCCTCAGCCAGCTCCCAGCTGGGCTCCTAGTCTATGTTCTGGGTGCACAATGGCCCTCTCCTGGTGGCGCTGACCTGGCTGCAGTTTTATAGTTATTTATGTAACTATTCAATGTCTGACTTCCTCATAAGGCTGTGTGCTCAATGGGGACAATGACATTCGCTTTGCACACACAGTGACTGACACATTGCCTGTCAGATGTCACTTGGTATTGAAGGAACCAACTGTGTCCCATGTCTGATCAAGCAAGTCCAAACGCATATAATTATAATTTTAATTTAAGAAAAGGTGCACTACTAGGCTGGGGATATAGCTCAGTTGGTAGAGGGCTTACTCGCATGCACAAGGCCCTGGGTTTGATCCCCAGCAACACACACACACACACACACACACACACACACACACACACACAGAGTACGCTCTTATAAAGAATGCCAAGATAACAGGTTATCTTACTGTCCAGTTCTCTTCAATAATTTTGTCTCACTATTGGTATCATCTCAAATATGACAGATAAAATATATTTACATCTATCCTTCCCAACATTCAAGAGAAAATATTTCATCCCAAGTAGCAAAGTGACATCTTTCAAATCTCCACAGAATGAAGAGATGAGGCTGTGGAATAGAATCCTATGGACCCGACCCAGGGACCACTGCCCAGGGGGCCTGATGACTCTTGACTCCTGGTGTGGGGAAGATGTCCTCTTTTTTTTTTTTTCTTTTGAGAGAGAGAGAATAGTTTTAATATTTATTTTTTAGTTTTCGGTGGACACAACATCTTCATTTTATTTTTATGTGGTGCTGAGGATCGAACCTAGCGCCCCGCACTTGCCAGGTGAGTGCACTACCATTTGAGCCACATCCCCAGCTCCAAAGATGCCCTCTTTTGCTCAGAAACTGTCACACTATGGACACCAGGAGCTGCTATGTCAAAGTCACTCTAAGAGTGTCCTCAGCTTGATGCTGATTGACCACCGAGCCCCTCTCTTTGAGGAAGCTGCTTGGCAACTTCGTTCTGGCTGCCCACACCGCTCACTGGGTCTGTGTTTGGCAAATCAATCTCGGGTACACAAAGAGGTTTTTTTTTTTTTTTTTAATATTTATTTTTTAGTTTTCGGCGGACACAACATCTTTGTTTGTATGTGGTGCTGAAGATTGAACCCGGGCCACACACATGCCAGGCGAGCGCGCTACCGCTTGAGCCACATCCCCAGCCCCCACAACGAGTTTTAAAATAGCTCAATGAGAACACAATGTTGAGTTCTGTTTCTAAACAAAGGACTTTTATCTGTGAGTCTTTGTAAATGGCTGGGGATGTAGCTCAGTTGGTAGAGTGCTCGCCTCATATGCACAGGCCCTGGGTTCAACCTACACACACACACACACACACACAAAAAAAAAAGAATAGTAATCACTCCTGCTCTGTTCACAGGGATCTAATTCTGATATGATTTATATAATTGGTTAATATTAACCTAGATATTAAAATTGTCCTAATTCAAGCTACTCTGCCAGAAGAACTTCCCTATGCTACACAGCAAATTTGTCTATTTCTCTGACATAATTAACATTATGTGACATTTACAACTTAAAGAACCAGTAGGAGTTGGTGTGTAACTCAGTGGTGGGGTGCCTGCCTAGAATACATGAGGCATTGGGTTCAGTTCTCAGCACCGCATAAAAATAAACAAATAAAACAAAACAAAGGTATTGTGCCCATCTACCAAAAAAAAAAAAAAAAACAGTAGCTGCTTACTTCACACACTGCTGCTGACAGTCTTACTGAAATGTGTATTCTAAGTCAAATTTAAATTAGCAAATGCAGCAATATTAAATAAAACATTCAAAGTCAACTTCCTATCTTCTCAGGGGGAAGGTGGAAGTGGACAAGTCTCTGAATTGATATTTCCTGCTCACATCAGACTGTCCCATCCCTCCCTCCCTCCCTCCCTCCCTTCCTCCCTTCCTTCCTTCTTCTTTTTTTCCCCTTGGTATCAGGGATTAAACCCAGGAATACTTAACCACGGAGTCACATCCCAGCATTTTTTATTCTTTATTTCGAGAAAGGTCTCACTAAGTTGCTTATGACCTTGTGAAGTGGAGGAGGCTGGCCTTGATTTGATCCTCCAAACCATCTCCCTCAAGTCAGTGTGAGCACTGGGACCAGCCACAGAAAACAGACATACTATAAAATCAAGTAAATAAAAAACAGGAATGTTTTTCTAAAAAACTATTATTTTCCTCAAATTTTAAACAAGCCTGTCTCCTCTCCCTCAAAAAAGAACTAGAAAATAAAAATTGTACATACTCTAATATTCAAAATGTCATGTTTTAAATTCAAAATGAGACCAATTTCTTCAGCATTTAATATATATATTTTGTTGTAAATGGACAAATACCTTTACTTTGTTTTTATTTACTGTTATGTGGTACCAAGGATGGAACCCAGGGCCCTGCACGTGCTAGGCAAGGGTTCTACCACTGAACCATAACCTCAGCCCCTCCTCAGCATTATTTTTTTAAAAGTATTTTTTAGTTGTTGATGGACATTCATTTATTTATTTATATGTGGTACGGAGGATTGAACCGAGTGCCTAAGATGCTAGGCAAGCGCTCTACCACTGAGCTATAGCCCCAACCCTCTTCAGCATTATTTTGAAATATTTTCATAATCTGCTTACAGTTCTTTTAAGATTTGTTTACAAAATGAAGGAGTGAAGAGATGTTGAATTTGATTTCTTTTTGCTTGTTTTTTAAAAAATAATTATCTAATGTTAATAATGTCTGAAGGGGCTGGGGATGTGGCTCAAGCGGTAGCGCGCTCGCCTGGCAAGCGTGCGGCCCGGGTTCAATCCTCAGCACCACATACAAACAAAGATGTTGTGTCTGCCGAAAACTAAAAAAATAAATATTAAAAAAAAAAAAGATATTGTGTCCATCTACAACTAAAAAAAAAGTTTAAAAAATCTCTTTAAGTTTAATAAGTCATTATTATTCCTGGTAATGATATAAACATCATTAATATGAGGAAATAACATTATCAATATCAAGAAGCAGCAGCAGTCTACTTAATGTGGGGGCAGTAATTCGCCCACATCCTTTCATGGAATGTACATCTCAAAGCCATATGGAAGAGGGTTTTGGTTTTGGGGATGGGGGTTGTTTTAATTTCTACCTCCTAACAAGAAATCTGTAGGAGGCAGCACAAGAGCAGAGCTGCATCTCTGGCTCCCTCCTCTCCCCCAGGGTTGGTCTAGCTAGCCCTGGTCCATCCAGCCTTCAGTTTGTTATCACATTCACAAAATACCTACAGCATTACAAATACTTCAAGCTGAATCAACTTATTTTAAAACTTAAATGCCTCTATATTTAAGGAAAACTCAAAGGAAGAAAAATCCAGCCGTATACAAACAGATTTTTAAAAAGAAGACAAGAAAGTGTTGCACCGGGCATCAGAGGGCAGACAGCAGCAAGGCCAGGAAGCAGAGCCCGGGCAGGGGTGGTGCTGCTGGTCTCCAAACACAGAATGGGCAACACATCTGCAGGAGGCGCAGCTGGAAGCCAAGGGGAAGGACAGGCCTCCAGCCAGTCAGGAGAGGGACCAGGGAGGGGGGGGAGTGGGGTAAGGGACTTGTCAACTGGGGGTGGAGGCCCACAGAGGGGCACTAAGAGGAGAGACAGGAAAGATGGGCCTGAGAAAGGAAAAAGGTCCCACAAGGCGAGAAGCCACAGGCCTGGGCACATGTTCCTCATCCCAGGACACAGTCTGTCCTCATAACATGTGTTAGTCTGTGTCCAACAAAAGGAATCCAAAGTAACTGTCCAGGCGGGGGCTGTGGCTCAGTGGCAAAGCGCTTGCCTTGCACACGGGAGGCACTGGGTTTGATCCTCAGCACCACATAAAATAAACAAAATAAAGATGTATACTTTTATATAAATACATGTATATAAAATAACTGTCCATGTGCCACTTAAAATCACTTTGGAACATGCCTATAATCCCAGCGGCTTGGGAGGCTGAGGCAAGAGGATCACAAGTTCAAAGCCAGCCTCAGGAACTTAGCAAGGCCCTGTCTGACCATCTTCCTGGGCAAAGTACCCCCCGTGGAAACACTAGCTCAACAGGCCACTCTACCTGAAACTTCAGAGCAGCCAATTAAGATCACGTCCGCTCTTCTCTGGCTTCCCTGGGGCAACTATAGGGTCAGGGAGCCACCACTGCTAAAATTAACCCCCAAGCTCTTTTGAAGATGCACCTGAGGATACTGTTATGTCAGCTGAACATGCACAACAGAGCCAGATTTTATTCTTTTGCTACTCACAATAAAACAATCTCTTCCAATATCAGTATCAGAGAAGGTTGAGTCTCCACAATTGTCACTGAGCATTGGGTTTCAATATTTACCCAACTAGCAGTTGTTTTTGAAGAATGTTTGGAAGAACAAGGGGTAATTTTATAGCAATAATTTTCCTTGAATTTTGTTACAATTGTTAGAACAAAACAAGAGTCATCTTTCCATTTGAGAGAAGAGGAATCTGAAAGAGAGGCCATGTAAGTCACCTATGATCTCTCAGTTACTGAGTGACAGAGCTGGGATTCAAGCCCAGGCAAAAGAAATCACAATGCACTACAGATCTAGGGAGCCTGGATGGGTGCTAATATAGAGGTAAAATAGCCATTGGTATATTATAAGCACCTGATAAAGGTTAGGTATATGACAACACTGTGATATATGTATTACACATATAGCTCATTTAAATCTCACCATACCTATATAGTAGGAATTACTATTTTTTTTTTTAAGATATTTTTTAGTTGTTGATGGATCTTTATTTTTTATTAAACCTATTTGGATATGGTGCTGAGAATCGAACCCAGTGCCTCAGGCATGCTAGGCAAACACTTTACCAATGAGCCACAACCCCAGCCCCAATATTTTCTCTTGATAGCTGAAAATACCAAGAGTCAGGAAGTTGAATGGCTTTGTTAAGGTAACAGTCAGCAAGTGGCAAGCTTTTCAGGAACTGGCCCCAGAGAGAAAAGTTGCGTCCAGATACCAGCAGCTAATGCAGGTCAGGTCTCACCTTGTGCAAGGAGTATCCAGACTCAAAGATGATAGGCGGCAGCAGGAGGAGGAAAAACATATTAGGTCGAAACATTTCTTCTTCCTAAAAATATAAAAAGAGATTTGTATAACCAAGAAATCCATTCTTCTCCCAGGGTCTGGCAGAGGGGAGATGTCTGAGGTTTGAGTGTACTGCCTGATACTAAAACCAAGCTGAAGGAGAGACCGAAAGTAAATTAGTCATCTGCATTCTCAAATGTAGGACAAGCAATTGTAAAGGGTGCCCAGCAAAAGAAACAGCACAATGAACTGCTACCAAACACTTACTGGTGTGCTAAGCTTACTCCTTGGAAGGAAGGAAAATTAATTTTAATATACACAATTTAAATTCAGATAGAAAGCTTTCAAAATCGAGTGCACAAACTGGAACCTTGGGAACAGGGCGGCAGTGGGCCTGAGAAGCCCGCTCGGGAGGGCCAGCCCGCAACGTGGCGGCAGCTCGGCCTACTCCCACCACAAGCACCTGCTCTTTTCCTGCGTCACACTGGGTGCCTGGGAGGTGGCTGTGACGCAAGCCCCTTGCCAGGCTTCCAGACTTGAATATGAAGTGCTATGGCTCCAGGATCCGTGTCTTCTGGGACATGAGGTCATAAGAATTCCATCTCTGCATTAATCTGCCTAATTTTGTTGGGATTTGGGGAAAAACAATAAACCCCAAATGGCTGCATGTGGTCCCCAGGCTACTCAATACTGCAAAACCAGGCCTCTCTCCCTCTGAATGTTTCCATGTCACAATCCTGACAGTCTGATTTCTTGTCAAAATCCTAACTCAAAAGAATGACTAACTGTATTCTTACAAATGTAGCTGCTATCATAAAGACTAAAATAACATTCAAAAAAGGCTCAAAATAGAAGCAAATGATGACTCTGAAATGCCCTACTGAGTCTGAAAATAACCCCTCTGCAGCGGTGGCACTCCTCCGGGCACACACAAAAGAAAGGGCTGAGGGCTGCCTTCGCGGTGGCCACTAGGATCTGCGCAGTCAGGCCCTGGCAGCTCCTTCGGGAGGTTCAAAACCTAAACCCCGGGACAAAGGAGCGCGCCTTCAGGGAGCCCGCACAGCTCCCCTGCCCGTGCCCCCCGCACCCCCCAGGCTGGTGTAAGGACAGGCCAGAGGTAAGGGGAGAACTGAGAAGGGTTCCCGCCCTGAGGGAGGGCCCCAGTGCAGCCAAACTGCAGGAGCCAGGAAAGGACAGACACAGAAGGCCACAGGAAGACAGAGGCAGAGACAGAGCTCACAGCCACAAGCCACGGGGTGCCTGGGGCCCCAGAAGGATTCCCTCCTAGAGCCTTTCCAGCAGCTTCGGGCCCCAGACTGTGAGGGACAAACCTGCAGCTCAAGCCACCCCTGTGGTAGGGAACGGGGACATGAACACCCCTCCTCAGACGGCCAGGCTCCTTCCACAATTTCTCCCTGGAAATGGTCTGAGGTGGTTTCGGGTGGCCATCGAGCAATGGTGTCAAATCCACTCCCCCACGGACAGAAGGTCAGCCCCTTGCCATTCTTTTCCAACCTCAAAAGTTTGGCCCCAACGTTTGGCATCGCCATGGCGACAGTCTCACTCTACTGGGCTGCCCCCTGGACAGAGGGAGCAGGCCTGAGCCCAGGCGTCAGCAGGCACATGTCCTACTTCACTTTTACCCCATTTATTTATAAAACAGCACTAGGGGCTGGGGTGCAGTTCAGCCACAGAGGACAGGCTTCGCTTGAGTGAGGCCCTGGGTTCCATCCCTAGCACCACACCAAAACAAAAACCCACCTAATGTTAGTTTGTTTCCTTCCAAATAAATGCGAAAGGAGCTGGGGGGTGGTAAGGAGCTGGGGGTGGCTCTCTCCTAGCAGGAAGGAGGCCCTGGGTTCCATCCCTGGCACTGCAATAAAATAAGTTGGATACAGTATATCACCACCAGAGCAGCAGTATTCAAGTAGCCAAAAGGTGGAAAGAACCGGGACTCCACCCCCAGAGGAAGGGGTAACAGAAGTGAGAGTTATTCAGCCATAGAAACGAATGAATTTCTGAGAGATGCAAGCACATGAATGCAGCCTGGACGCACCATGTTAACCAAAATAAGCCAGATACAGAAGGGCAGATGTTGCATGACCACATGAATACAGGGCACACAGGCTATGGGGAGGGGGACAGAGCTGTGGCTTCGAGAAGACAGTTTTTGTTTGGAATGATGAAAAAGTTCTCAAAATACATAGGGGGATGGGCATACAACACTGTGAATGTATTTAATGTCACAGAATTATCTGCTAAAAAATGGCTAAAATACAAATTTTATGCATGTTGTACCATGAAACATTTTTTTAAACTGCCAAAAATATACATAAATTAAAAAGTAAGCTGATATAAACAAAAATATCGGCCAAGGATGTAGCTCAGTGATAGAGAATTTGCCCAGCATACATGAGGCTCTGGATTTTAAAAAAAGGAAAATATTAAGCATGTGATAATACAGGCAGAAAGCAGCAGATTCAGCAGGACAGTTTACAAACAGGACTCTGTGGAAGGAAACCATCAGGCTCCTTCACTGTTCTTCTCACACACTGCTCTCTGTGCATCCGGTTTCCAGAAGGCTGTCCGGCTTCCAACTCCAGCTCTCCACAGATGCCGGCTCCCCCAGGACGCCGCCCCACCTGTCCAGCCTAGAACTTTCCCACACACTTTCTACTCAATAAGGATGCTCAAGTTTAAGTTGAAATTCAAGTTTCAGCTGGTCCTTGTACTTCAAATGATGCTTATACCCTAATAACCACCCTGTAAACACAAGGGGATGTACATCAGCGAACTGAGGAACTATAGAATAGTGGAGAGAATACTGAATATACAGGGCACAGGGTCTGAACCAAGACTCAGTTCAGCCACTTCCTCTCTAACCCTGCCAACACTGGCCATGACCCAACCTCCTTCATGTGTAAGGAGGTGGCAATGATAATGACTGGTCAACCTAGCTTGTCAAGCGGCTGTCACAAGGACCACAGGAGCTAAAGTGTATCAAGTGCTCTAAGCTCCACAGTGCTGGACAAGTACCCTTCATCACCTCATCACCCTCAGCTGGCAGAGTGCGAGCAGAACACTCACTGTTCAGGCTTAATGCTGATTAGTCTTCCCCATGAAGTCGGTTAGTGTAGGATTATCAAAAGGCAAGTAACAACAAACTGACAGTCAGATGGTGCGAGATTTATGCATTTTCTAAAAATTCACGTGTAAAGGAATCAACCTGAATCTTACAAAAAAAAAAATGAATAGGAGCTGGGACTGAAGCTCACTGGTAGAGCACTTATCCAGCACAAGAACCTGGATTTGGTCCCCATGCCAAAAAAAAAAAGTACATGGAACAATATAAATAACTTCAGTGACAATCCAGTTAATAAGAAAACTAGAATAAGCATTAATGCTACTAAAAAAACAACCAGAAACTGTGATCATATTACAAAATGAACAGTTAGGCAAACTTACCTTCCAATTTGCCAGTTTTTTAAACTCTATAATTTTTATAACTGCTCCCATGAGGATACCTAGAAGAGAGAAAGTGAAGTTTAACATAAATTTAGACAGGAGAAAGACTATTCAGGCTTACAATTCTAGAGAAACTGAATATTATTCATTGTGTTTTAAATGGTTTTCATGGAGCTCAGCAAGTTTTATATCTGAAAAAATAAGAATAAAATATTGGCTGGCCATGGTGGCGCACACCTGTGATCCCAGTGACTTAGGAGGCTGAGATAGGAGGATCACAAGTTCAAGGCCAGTCCAGGCAACTTGGTGATATTGTGCCTCAAAATAAAAATAAAAAGGGCTGGGGATATATAACTCAGTGGTAAAGCACCCCTGGGTTTAACCCCCACAAGCGCCCCACAACATACATGCACACAAAAGAGAGGAAATTAGTCTATCATTATATGAGTCACTCGAGTTTCTCACTTGCATCGCAGATAAACTAAGAAGTCTACAGGAATCTGGGGGAAGAAATTTTTGCACAAGGTACTCTGCCTGGCATGGAAGATGTAATACGTATCATTCTTCTACATACACCCACTCTATTTTTCCTTTTTTGTTGTTGTTTTTGTTTTTAGAAGCATAGAGATTTCCTCAGGGAAGCTGAGACACATTCAAGGGAGAATGTAGGCCATCTCAAGAGTGAGAATGTGGGCTGGGGTTGTGGCTCAGTAGTAGAGCATGCATGAGGCACTGGGTTCGATCCTCAGCACCACATAAATATAAAATAAAGATATTGTGTCCATCTAAAACTAAAAAAAAATAAATATTAAAAAAAAAGAGTGAGAAGCTGCCCATATGCCCATTTTCAAGGTAAAATGGCGAAACCTTGTAAGACAAGTTTGTCCTAGCATTAAAAAAAAAAAACAAAAAAGAAACCCAAGATCACTTTCTCACAGACTCAGATGGCAGCTCTATGTTGACTATTTAGAGATGAACTCAAATGCTGAAAATAACCCAAAGTAAAAAGTTCTGTGAAATCCCTGGAAGAAACGAGATCATCTAAGTACAGCGTGTTTCTATAAAACTGACAGGCTCCTTAATCTCTCCTAAAGCACCTACCAAAAATAATTCTCAAAGATGCACCTTGGGTTCATTTTTTTATTGCTGGATTACTCACTAGATAAACAATTCTTAACCCCACTGCTCCATCTGAATCATCATAGGGGCCTTGTGTAAAACAAAAGAAGTCCAAGCTCATGGCAGAGCGCTTGCCTAGCATGCGAGAAGCCTGGGTTCCATCCCCAGTCCCAGGGGGAAAAAGATATTTAGGCAGAACTCCAGGCCTAACCCCCACACTCTGGTGAGGGTGACACTAGGAAGGTCTGCAGAGCATGGCCCTGGCGGCACTCTGAGGAAGACACAGAGGAAGGAGCTTCCCCAGCACCAACAGAAGGCTAAGCAGGGACACCTCACTGGGTGGAGGAACAATACCAGAACACAGACGTTTATCAAGAAAAGGATCCTTATTGGCTGCAGTGGCACACGCCTATAATGCCAGCTTCTCAGGAGGCTGAGGCAGGAGGATGGCAAGTTTGAGGCTAGACAGAGTCAGACCCTGTCTCAAAATAAAAACAAAAAAGCTGGGAATGTAAACTCAGTGGCAGAGCACCGCTGGGTTAACTCTCCACTACCCAAAAAAAGAAAGGAAAAAAAAAAAGAACCTAAAGTTGGGCACAGTCCTCACACTGTTATTTGGGAGATTGAGGCAGGTGAATCCTAAGTTTGAGGCCAGCTTCAGCACCTTAGTGAGACCTGTTTCAAACTAATACATAGAAAAGATCGTGGGGCTGGGTGCGGTGGCGCACGGCTGTGATCCCAGTGGCTTAGGAGGCTGAGACAATAGAATTGTCTCAGCAACTGTGAGGCACTAAGCAACTCAGTGAGACCCTGTGTCTAAACAAAATACAAAAAAGGGCTGGGGATCTGGCTCAGTGGTTGAGTGCCCCTGAGTTCAAACTCCAGCACCAAGAAAAGAAAAGGCTGTGGGGGAAGCTCAGTGTTAAAGCACCCTGGGAACAAGCCCCAGTAACAAAGCCCAAACCAAACCAAACAAAATGAACAAGAAAAAGAAAAGGACCCTCCCTGGCAAAACAGCGTGTGTGCCCTCATGTGCACGTGTGGGGGGTGAAGACAGGAGGTAGGTTCATTTTAATTTCAGAAACTTCTACACTATTTGAGTTGCTATGCAGTAGTAGACTAATGATAGGGGGTGGGGACGTTGACCAGTGGCAGAGCGCTTACAGAGCATGTGTGAGGTCCGGGGCCACCCTCAGCACAGAACACAGCTCTAAAGGGAGTCAGTGACACAGCAGCCAGCACACTCCCCGCCAGAGTGGCCAGCCAGCAGCCCAGAGGCTCTTTCTTCTTATGTTTTCAAGCAGTAAACCATTTATTTCCGGGTGTTTTAAAACACTTCGTTATGACTACCACATAAAATGTTATAATCAGTCCCCTCTAATCATATCCCACCCCAGCTTAGTTCATCTTCTAACGCAAGATAAAGCCATCTTGGTAAGTCTTGGGGACTGTACCACCACCCCCTGTGCTCTCTCAGACATATGCCTATATACATCTATGCATATGTATGTGTGTGTGTGTCTGTGTGTGTGTGTATTTAAAGGACTGAGGATGTAGTTCAGTGGTAGAGCCCTTGCTTACCATGCAAGTCTTGAGTTCAATCCCCAGTACCACACGACCCCCGCCAAAAAAAAAGAGAAACAGACAGACAGACAGAAGTGCTATAGAGCTCCAGGAGACCAGAAATTGCAGAGAACGATGGTAGAAGAACTTACATTGTCTATATTTAAGCACACAGAACCCATACATTCTTGTGTGTATATGCATGTACAGAAACAGCACACCTGAGTACACTGATATAAAATGTATGGTACTGTATCATGTTGCTACTTGGATCATCACATATAAAGCCACCTCATTCCTTTTAACTGCTCTATGGAGTAGCATAAAAATGCCACAGTATAATCTATATTTGGCCACACATAAATGGCCAAAAAACACGTGTCAAGATGCTCAACATCATAAATCACACCCACGAGGATGACTATACTGAAACAGTAAAGAATAACAACATTGGCAAGATTAGAGGCACTGAAACCCTCACATATGACTGATGGAAACAGAAAACTGCTAGGGAAGAGAGTTTGGCAATTCCTCAAAAAATTAAGTAGAGCTACCAAATGACCCAGCCATTCCCACTAAGAGAACTGAAAACATATGTTCATATAAAAGCTCGTACACGGAGGACTGAGGTTGGGGCTCTGCGGTAGAGCGCTCACCTTGCACGTTCGAGACCCTGGGTTTGATCCTCAGCACCACATAAAAATAAATAAGTGAAATAAAGGTATTGTGTTAAAAAGTAAATATTAAAAAAAAAAAACAAGCTCGTACATGGATGTTCACGACCGAATTATCTTAATATTCAGAAGGTGGGAAACCCCCACACCCATCCACTAATAAAAGGACAGACAGAAAGTGGTGTGTCCATACAAGGGAATGTCACTCAGCGGCAGAAGGGAAGGGCGCACTGACAGGCGCTGCAGTAGGGAGGGATCTTGAAGATGTAAGTGAAAGAAGTCAGAAACCAAAGGCCCCACGTTTACTGTTCCATTTACAAGAAATGTCCAGAACAGGGAGATCTGTAGGACAGAAATCCTCGCCTGGATCTGGGGAGGAGGATTTGGGGGATGATAGCTAAAGGGTACATGGAGCTCTTTCTTGGGGTGATAAAAATGTTCTAAAACTGACTGTGGGGATGGTTGCACAATTCAATGAATATACTAAAAACTACGGAACCGTACATTTAAACCAGGTAAATCGTGTTATATGAATTGTATCTTAATAAAGCTGCTGCAGGTGTGGGGGCTGTGTCTCAGAGGTAGAGTGCTTACCTAGCATGAGCAAGGCCCTGAGCTTGACAGTTTGTTGACAAGTATTGAAGAAAAAAAAAAATTAAAGCTGTTACAAAAAAAAAAAAAAAAATCACAGATTATATAATTGCACTGATATGAAATGTCCAAGCAGGGCATGGTGGCACATGCCCATAACCTCAGCAACACAGGAAGCTCAGGCAAGATCCCATGTTCAAGGCCAGCCCCAGTAACTTAGTGTGACCCTCAGAAACTTAGATGTAGCTCAGTGATAAAGTGCCCTGGATTCAATCCCCAGTAACAAAGGTGGTAAAAAAATAAAACAAGGGAAAAGTCCAGTACAGGTCAGTTCATGGAGCCAGAGGGCAGATTAGTGGTTTCTCGGGACTGTAAGAAGGGGATGTGGGCATGGGGTTTCTTTTTGGGGTGATGAAAATGTTCTAGAATAGAGGGGATAGCTGCAAAACCCTGTGAATATACTGAAAAGCACTGGATTGTCACTTTGAAGTGGCAAAGTTTACGTACGACGTGTGAATAGTACTTCATTTGTCTCCAACTGCTGCTGTCAACGAGGGTGCTGCAATGAACGTTCCTACCTGCCACTTTGTCTGAAAGAGTGTCCCTAAGGCTGATCCCGAGACTAAGAAGGGCTAGATTATAAAACACAAGCACTTTTATCTCTGAAACTGTTGCCAAATTATCCTCCAAAGTGGCTGTGCCAACTTACACCTCTGCATGAGAGACTCCACGTCTTCACCAGGGTGGATATGAATAACCAGCAGACACTGACATTTCTGCCAACATGATGGGCAAGAATTATACTTCAATGTTTTAATTTGTACTGCATTCAGCAATGATTCCTGATGACCACGGAAGTTGAACATGGTTCCAGATTTCATTTTTAAAGCTAGTATTTTTCTGCTCTACTGAAATTTCAACTTTCTTTTCCCCTTTTTAGGTGCATGCCAAATTTGAATAACAATTAGTGCTTTCCTAGGTGCATACAAAGCAGTTCCACCTGAGAAGTCACTCTACTGCCTGTGCCTGTGTCTATGTTATTGCCTATGAGGGGCTGGGAAACTTTACAAAATATAATGTGAATATATTTTGTGAGTATATTTTATGAATAA